TTCTCTACAGGCAGATGCCATAGCTGTTTACCTTACATCTTTTGTTTCTCTACAGGCAGGTGCCATAGCTGTTTACCTTACATCTTTTTTGTTCTATTCACACAGGTGCCATAGCCGTTTACCTTACATCTTTCTGTTCTATTCACGCAGGTGCCATAGCCGTTTACCTTACATCTTTCTGTTACTTACAGGCAAGTGCCATAGCTGTTTACCTTACATCTTTCTGTTCTATTCATGCAGGTGCCATAGCCGTTTACCTTACATCTTTCTATTCTTTACAGGCAGGTGCCATAGCCATTTACATATTTCTGTTCTGTATAGATAGGTGCCATGGCCATTTACATCTTTCTGTTCTGTATAGTTAGGTGCCATGACCATTTACATCTTTCTGTTCTGTATTTACAGCTGCCATGGCCATTTACATCTTTCTGTTCTGTATTTACAGCTGCCATGGCCATTTACATATTTCTGTTCTGTATAGACAGGTGCCATGGTCATTTACATCTTTCTGTTCTGTATAGACAGGTGCCATAGCCATTTACATATTTCTGTTCTGTATAGACAGGTGCCATGGCCATTTACATATTTCTGTTCTGTATAGACAGGTGCCATGGCCGTTTACATCTTTCTGTTCTGTATAGATAGGTGCCATAGCCATTTACATCTTTCTATTCTGTATAGACAGGTGCCATGGCCATTTACATCTTTCTGTTCTGTATAGACAGGTGCCATGGCCATTTACATCTTTCTGTTCTGTATAGACAGGTGCCATGGCCATTTACATCTTTCTGTTCTGTATAGACAGGTGCCATGGCCATTTACATCTTTCTGTACAGACAGGTGCCAAACTGTTACACTGGTTGTACCTGGTTTTTTTTTTTTTTTGAACCCCTGTGAAAGGACTTTTTTTTTTAATGCCTTCAGGCGTAGTGGGCGTAAAGGGCTAGTACTATATTTTATAGAGCAATTAGTACTCCATGGGTGATGTGGTAAGCATCATGCTGGCTGCCTTTACCTGCTCCCCGTTTAAGGCTGGGCCGACCTGGGAGTCGGTCATGTCTGAAAAACGTCCAACTGCGTCAGGACTTGAATACACAGCCTTCAAATCTGCAGTTGAGCATCTAGCACCTATACCACATTGCCCCCCTCCCGGTCAAAGGATATGCTATTTTAAATGCGCTTCTAGAAACGCAAAATGCTGAGATAAAACCTGCCATTCCCATAAACCAAAATTATTCACCTAAAGGATACATTAAAACTTCTTGTACAAAGGACAGAATCTGCGACAGGGAGAAGACATATTGGCAAGAAAGAGTCCAGTACAGCCAGATTTCTTGTGTGAATATTGGCCAAGTGTGATAAACATGTTACTTCTGCTTTGTAAAAATATATATAGTCAGCTGCATGCCACTTTGGGGAGAAAAGTGCATCTAGTTTGTGATAGTATTTTCATGCGCAATTATTTTACAAATTGTTAGGGTACATTTGTAATTTATGCGTCAGGTTTATGCCTTTCTTACATAAATACCATATCTAGAAGTATTGAGACATTGTGAATGAATTGTTGAGTGTCTGAAAGCAGTTAGTTGTGGTTTTACTGTAGCATTGACCGTGTGATAGATTTACAACATTGACTACGTGATAATAGTATGTGGGGAAGTCATGATAGTTATACGAGGGGAAGTCAGTAAATGGTCACAAATGGTTATGGGATGGCAGGAAAATGTAGTTGGTGGTTTCTAAAGATGTCATTGAACATTGAACTTTATGTCTTTGTTCGTTAGGTGGCGCTAGGTGTTGCATGTGTATTCGCAGCGCAGAAACAGAATGGTGACTGTACTTATGGAGTGTACCCTCAAAGAACAATGTGCTTTCGTATGTTCGGGGGAGGGGGGAACAAAGGGACTGCCGGCAAAGGACATTCATAATGAAATGCTTCCTGTTTATGCTGACAAATGTTTATACCGTAAAGCGGTGCCTATCTCAGTTTTTTAAAAAAAGTTCTCGAAGCAGCTCTAAAATTGTTGATGAAGTCCGATCTGGTTGTCCTGTTGAGATTGCATCAGTCACATCCGTGCAGCAGGTGGAGGAGATGATTAGAGGTGACAGGCATTGACTTTGTAGCAGCTGCAATTAAAAGAGGTGATAATCTGAATGCTGATTCAAACTGTAAAGTTCAATCTATGCTTCATGATGCAATTCGAAGCAAACATCTAGGCCTGTTGACTGGAGGAGCAGTGTCCCTTCATAACAATGCTAATCCACATGTGGCTCTATTAACTCAAGAGAAAATTAACCATCTAGGGTCGGAACTTCTGGAACATCCACCTAACAGCCCCAACTTAGCCCGTAGCGATTTCCACCTTTTTGGTTCACTCAAAACTCGTTGCGGGAGACATTTCGTGAGTGACACGGAAGCTGAATGTGAAGTGAAAATGTGGTTTAGAAAACAGAGCACGCAGTTTTGTGTAGCAGATTTGGGAGGACTGATAAAACGATGAGACAAGTGCATCAATGTTGGTGGAAATTATGGTGCAAAATAAAGGGACAGTGTATGTGTAAAAAAATAAACAATTTTCGAGTTATGTTTATTTTTTTTTTTAATACAAGCATTTGTGACTTATTGACTTCTTCTCATAGAAACTATACAACACTGTGTGATAGTTTTGGCTGTGATCTGTAACGTAATTTTGACAATTCCATCCAGTTTGAGTATGTGTTTTTAATTTTTCAGTGAGCCCATAGTCTAAAACAAAACAACATGCCTGGCTTGTATGTGTGTAGTCCTGTTATATATAATTCGTGATAACTGCATACATTTTGAACATGGTGTAAGTGATGATAAAATGAGATATGTTTACAAATGTGACTTGAAGTGATTGATATTCCGAGAGGCATCATCAGTGTTGCTGAGGTAGCACTGGTTTTCTGCACACAAAAACCAGTCGGGTAGATTTGTTGAGTATTCTTTTTGCTAGGAGTTGAGTCCAGAATTGGCATCACAGCACTCGGGGCATTCCCATGCGCTAACCATAAGAAAATCTGTCTTTTGTGTTTTGTGTGTGTGAATCGCTTTTTTTGATTGATTGTTAACATAAATGTTTTTTAAATGATGGAATTCTGCTGAAAACATATTGCCTAAATCAGTTTATTTTGTATAAGCAATTGTAATTCCATAGTATGTACTACTAGGCAGGGCCATATTTAGGATCTTTGAGGCAGTCATTTATCTTACACCTCCTCCTCCGTCAGCTGAACTTCTTCATCACTGTTACTTTACTGACTAACAATAAGCTATGGAATTTCGCCACCTTCTAAATGTTTCTGTCGGCTCTGTGGCTAAATCGATATGAACGCTTTGTAATGCCAGGGTCGATCCCAGCTGCGGGCTGTGCACCTTGCGTTGGTTTCGACAGTGGTATCAGGGGGCCGACTGTCCAGAAAGCAGTGGCAAACTACTGGATGTAAATTTGCCTAGAGAAACCATACAACAGCCAGGGGCTGCTGGGGTTGGTTCTGCAACGTCCTGTAAAGGATATGCAACTAACCTAAATGTTTCCGCTCTGTTCAGCTGCACATGTTGCACAGTGCCTAAATATGGCCCTGCCACTAAGTCATAGAAATCAAATTAAGTCTCTGAAACTGTGCATGTACAGAAAAGGAAGTTGCATTTCATAGAAACAGAAACAGTTAAGATACAGGAGTTCTGGAAAGACTGCAAGTGAAACAAAACAAATTATCAAAAACTTTGAAATATTTTGGCCACATTAAAATACATAACACATTTTTTAAAACCTTACTGGAGGGAAGAAAGGTTGAGGGCAAGAGAGCTAGAGGTAGACATCATTACAAGTGGGAGGACAATATCACGAGATGTACAAAACAGCAGTCTGAGTGAGTGTACAACTGAGACAAAAAGACTTTCATTGTGGTGACTGCACCTGATTGACTAGGTCATGGTAGGATGAGATAAGATGATGACTGGTTCTTTTTCTCCCATGTCCAGAAATGTGAAAACTATTCCTTATCTCACTACCTTCACAGATTTGTCCTTCAGGCCAGGCTAAAGATAAGTCTAGATTCTGCTAGACTATGAACTTGGTTATGTTTTGACATGAGAAACTCCTCTGCCACTTTGCTTCCTCACATGGTGTCACTGATGTTCCCATTGTTCTTTGTAAAAGTTATTTACCTCTGCAGTCTGTTAAGCTGCTTCAGTGATGAACTGTTGGAACATATCAAGTCACAAGTGAAATTCCATTACCTCTGTCCCATCTATAGATCAAAAAGCTGTGTCTCATGGAATGCGTCAGGGTGAGAGATATGTGAATAACACACAATCACGTTATGATTTCATTTTAAATTGCCAATTATATGATTTGTGTGTATAATAAACATTTACTTAACTCATTTTCCCCATTTTTAATATACATACTAGGAGATTATTTAATAATACACCTGTTTAGTTATGATTTTCTTTGTTTTTACAATACATACTCATACAAGATGATGGGTGAATCCTGCAATTTTCTTTGAAAATGTGTGCTACCACTAATGTATGCGTTTAAAAAAAAACAAAAAACAAAAAGTGCATTCTTATTAATTGGTTGACTGGGGGCTAAAAAGACCAGTGCAAAAAGAACAATTTCACTCTTTAAAAAATTATTTAGAATGTCAAAATATATAAAATTGTCGGTAGCTATGCATTTAACATACACAAATGTTTTAATAGTTGCTGCAGCGTCATTCACCAGATTTGATGGGGAGTGTTTCTGAGTGCAGAATAATTTATATATGTCTAGCCCTATATGCCTAAAGAGTCCCTTTCTTTACTTACTTATAACAATTTGTGGTGGCCACTTTTTCTGGTAAACTGTAGAAAGCAATGGCATTTAAAAAAAAAAAAAATCAAACTCAGATCTTATGAGGCAATTCTCTCCTAGGTTTTATTTACACAGGGAATCAGAAATACAGCTCAGGTCAGGTAACATTTGAAATAATCATTTCTTGCTCTTCTGTTTCTTTTTGGTTTTCTTCTTGTTGTGTGCCGGTGGTTCTTGCTCTGTTTCTGCCATCAGCTTTCTCTTCTTCTCCAGGTGACTAGGACAAGAAAACACATTGTACAAAATGTTAACAGAAACCACAAAGGAAACAGTCTAAAAAATAAAACATGACTGACTGATGAGGGACAGGTCAAGCCCACCCTGGATTCTTGATTAACGGGGAGGGGTACTGGGGGGGGGGGGGGGGGGGGGGGGGGGGTGGTCTTTGGCTAGATGGGGGGGGGGGGGTAACTTGAGAATGGAGGGGGGGGGGGCAATAAACTTGACTTGACACAGGTCTTTTCTCACTCACTCTCCCTCATGCTCTCTCTCTCATGTTTACTCACTCTCATGCTCATTCATTCTCTTTCATTCCCCCACTTGCTCATGCTCCTGCCTGCTTGCTCCATGTCTTGTTCTTTCTCACTCTCTCTCTACACACACAGGGAGGGAGAGAGACAAAACTAACTGTACATGTTTGCCAGGTAGCATATTTTACTTACGACCCTGGTTACCCCAGACCCAACTTTCTAAGCCTGAATAAAAGAAAATAGCTCAATCAAAAAAAATGTTATGACATAAACAGTCAGTCTGAACTGATCTTTTTACACCTAAGAAAATCCATTCTGACACTCAGGGTGGGAACTGGAGAAAAACTATTATCAACATGTTTCAGAAATAAAAACAATATGCTATTACCATTCTTCTCTACATGAGGAAGCAACAATAAAAACAGTATGCCATCAGCTTTCAGTTCTCTTCTTTCTTGGAAGCAACAATAAAAACATTGCACACATCTGCTCATAGCATCCCAGTCTTCACCTTTCTCAGCATGCCTTTAGTCCTGTTACAATTACGACTATGCAACTTGTTCACCGGAGAGCTGCAGTTACCGCCTCCACCTCCATTCTCATACTAGATGTTGAATGCTGGGCTGTCTTGCACTAAAGATTTTTACCACTGGCTTTCGCTCTGAACACCCAGGCAAATTATCTTTCCTCTCACCACAAGTGCTCACATAATAAAGGCATACCTAAAACACAAAGATAAGATCTGAATCACATGCAGAAGATAGCAAAATTAGAAGGGTGTGGTATCTGATCTGGAGAAGTCTGCTGCCAACTGAGCCAGACAAGAAAGCTAGTAACCATAGAAACCAGATGTCTCAGAAAGGCTGCAGGAGTGACCAGAGGAATGAGGTCTAAGAAGAAAAAAAAGTCAAATTCGAAATAACATACAACAAAGACAGTAATTCAAATGGTTAAAAAGAATGCCTTGTGATGCCACACTAAAATAGGAAAAGGACATAGAGCACGAGGTAGAGCAAGATAACATCAGAGAAACTCAACAGCACGGTATGTCTATGGGTGAACCTTACATCTCCCTCCAAGGTAGGTAAGTTGTACCCCACCAGGACATCACACAAGTGAAAACAACCAGTGACACAAAGTGCCACAATGCAAATGAGGATCACCTGTAGAGAGGCCCTGGAAACCCCTTTCAGCCGCTAGGCCACATTTAAGGCCTGGTTATATTCAGTGCCCCCGCCAAAAGCCAGGGTGGGGCTTCAAAATAATCAACGGGGACGACTGTTTTTCCCTTCATACCTGAAGTGGTAAAATATGAAGTGAAGAAGAAGTGGATAATACATCTATGACCAGAGATCACTGAAGAAGAAGGTGATTGATAAAACACAGAACACAAAGGCAACAATACAGATAATATCATTAGATAATATGTGCCACTAATACACAATGTCCCTGTAGAGGAGGACAAACCGGTGAACAGAAGATTCAATCAGCGACTCACCTTTTAACACTGACTACACTTTTGCCTGTGCCCTTCATGACATCCTTCCAGTCTGCATCAGAGCCTCGGATGGCGTAATGAGACAAGTCACTGCCCATGATGGAAGCCACATCCTTTCTGTGCTGCAGCTTAAACTCATTGCCAGCTTCATTCTGCAGAATACACCAGTTGTGACAATAGCTTGCATTATATTCATGCTAGTTGTGACAATAGCTTGCATTATCCATGCTAGTTGTGACAATAGCTTGCATTATTCATGCTAGGCCAAACTAAAGGTTACTTAGTGAGAATCACCTCTTTGCATACCAATAATTTTTAGTAACCAATGTACTCGGACAGTTATTACAAATAAACTGTCCCAAATACAACATATCACGGCAAAACTTTTGATCAAGAGAAACATTGATGAAAGCAAACTTTACAGGCCGCTGAGTGAATTACAAAAGACAGATTCATACTAGAAACAACATTGCAGATATAGATAATCTATTTCAAGTGAACGAAAGAAGAAGAAGATTACAAATATAGCCCGTGGATTTCAACCCACGACCTTGAGGCTGCAGGTGCATATGTTAACTAAAACAGCCCGGCTCTCTAGCGTAGTTGGCTAAACTGGATTGTGCGGAGACCGGGTGACGAACTCCTTGTGGTCCGGGTTCAATCCCGGGGGTAGGCAGGAAAGCCACATTTTCTCCCAGATTTACAATGGAATCAAGGCCGAAAGGTTGCGATGTCCTTAATACCGAGCCTAAGGGTTAACAACTCATGGCTTCTCTAAAACGCGTGAAAAGACTGGATTCTATACAGCATACGCCTTCACTTACAAAATCTCTTGAAATATTGCAATACTGTGGTTAGAAAACAACATTATATTTAATTATAACAACATACAGATGCACTGATCAGCACTCATAGAAAGAAGCAGAACACAACCAAAGCGCCTAGTTCATGCATCTTGCAGTACAATTGTTCCTGCAGTGAGTTGCTAAAAGTTTGACTTCTTCTTCTTCTTTTGTTCGCTTGAAATAGATTATATCTGCATTGCTGTCTCTAGTATGAACTTCACTGTCTTTTGTAGTCACTCAGCGACCCATATAAAGTTTGATTTGAACCGATGTTTCTCTTAGCCAAAAGTTTTGCCTTGATATGCTGTATTTGGGACAGTCTTGAAAAGTTGACTGAGTCATTCTATGTGATGTAACAAATTATCGCTACAAACATTTTGTACAAAATCTGCATTATCGTCATCAGGTAGGTAATGCAAGCAACAACAAAAATTACAATGCTCATGGCTGGCTATGTGTGTGTGTGTGCTGGGGTGTGTCACACTGGTCTCTCTTGGTCTGTTTCATTCGTGTTGGTCATCGTCAGTCTCTTGGATTACTGTCTTTCTTTCTCAGGTTGCTGTCTGAAATGATTTTTGTAATCCATAATTATCTGCCTCATAATGGACTTGTTCTATTTATCTCCACCTACCTTTGAACTGCCAACATAGGAGACAGCCCTAAACCAACGCACGTCAGGCTATTTGTGCATGATTGCACATGAAGTAGCCAGTCTCCTGACAGCTAATTTTATCTGCCTTTTAGGACATGCATGGTGGGTTATAGTGTTTTTATTCTATACCTCTGATAACATGTGGGTTAAAGTGGTACTATTCTAAACCTCTAGTAACATGTGGGTAAAATGTTTGGGTTTCAATGAACAAACTGCAAAGTAAGAGACAAAGTTAAAACCAAAAAAAAATTAACCAAAACTGAAAACTTACAAGTTCTTGGTCCATTGTCTTCCTCAGGGGATCCATCACAATGTCTTTCTTTTCAGCGACCGAAGCTTCAACGTCTTTCTCCAATATCTGGTTGAAGTACTGAAATTTTGAGTGGACAACGGTTAATTTCTCTTCAAATATATACATACATTAATTTTAAAAGTGTTAGTTAAATAATATAAAAAGATGTTACAGATTAACAATATTAAAAAGATGTTACAGTTTAACTATATTAAAAGTGTTACGGTTCAACATTATTAAAGATGTTACGGTTTAACAATATTAAAGATGTTACCGTTTAACAATATTAAAGATGTTAACCGTTTAACAATGTTACAGATGTTAGTTTAACAATATTAAAGATGTTAAGGTTTAACATTATTAAAGATGGTACAGTTTAACAATTTTAAAGATGTTACATTTAACAATATTAAAGATGTTCCATTTAACAATATTAAAAGTTTTACGGTTTAACAATATTAAAGATGTTACGGTTTAATAATATGCAAGGTGATCAATTAAAATTCTACTCTCATATATTATTTAAACAGAAAGATCACGTGATCAATCTGAAGTTACCATGGCAAACACATGACTGGTTTTAAATTTCTGGTGGACAGAAGATGTACGGCAACTCGACAATGTGGTTTATGCATCTCAGCAAGAAAAGGATTCATTTTGTGCTACCTTATATATTGAATAACTCTGTTGTAACGAATCTGACCAGATACAGCAAAAAATGCCAGGCCATAAATTGTGCAATGTACTGTTTGTGTTGGCATTATTTAAATTTACAATGGGAAAACACTGTTTGAACATTAAAAGTAAGAATATTAAAAGTGTAACTTCCCAGGACTGTACCTGGTATCCACTTAAGACTGGGTCGACCTGGGAGCCAAGGTCATTGTTGAAAAAAATCCACCCCATGCCAGAAACTGAACTCACAACCCTCAGCCCGAGTTTCTAGCTGCTAGACCACGGCAGCTCCTAATATTCAAGGTAGTGTAACAATATTAAAGGTGTTACAGAAGGTAAAGTAACAAGTCAGGAACTGAACTCATGACTTTCCAATTCGCAGCTGAGCATCTGGCCGCTAGACAATGGTGTCTTCAATATTATTGGCAAAAATTTTTTTTTTTAAAAAGATCCCTTTTCACGCCTTTAGGCGCATCTGACATATGGGAGGAGCACCCATATTTTTACAGACCAATCGGCACTGGGTGGGTAATGTGGTCAGTATTACGCCGGCTGTCTTTACTTTCCCATGACAAACATCCGGATACCCATTTTAGGCTGGGTTGACCTGCGACACCCCATACCATGATAAAAATTCACGCAGCTAGCAGTAGGTTTCGATCGCTGTACGTTGGGATTACGAGTTGGACTCGCAACGCCTTAGCCACAGACGCGTCTAATATTAAAGGTAGCTTAACAATATTAAAGGTGGTTAAAGTTTAACAATATTAAAGGTTTAACAGTTTAACAATGTTCAAAGCAAAAAGCTTGTCTTAACTCTGCAGATTTACACCCCCCTCCCCCTCCTGTCACCCATGACAGTGCTTGATCAAACATAACTTTTGCAGCTCCAGAAATCACTCTCAGGGTTTCCAAAAAACACCTTCAGTCACGAAACAAAAGAGCAGAGTCCTAAATCAAAGCCAGTCTTCCAAGCTTGAGGTAAATAGCTCAACCACTCTGAAACAGAAATGTCCGCATGCATTCACAGGAAACTTTTACACACAGCGCATTACTCTGTTGTTCCCCATGTGGGTTTTTGGGGGCCCCTTGACGAGGGTGGGAATAGACACACTGATTCCCATGCCTGCCTATAGCACAACACAGAGCTACTGTCTGAAAAGGTTCCAACATTAGAGAGATAAATAAGGGAAGGATATGAAAGAAGCCACAAAGGCTGAATAGTTTCATGTGGATGACTTGAGTGCCTATGCTCCCATGCAGAATGACATATTTTTGACAAACTGATCTCTGTCAACTAAAACAAAATGCACCTCAATTTACACGGACTATCTGTAAACCCACCTGCACAAATTTGTGAATAGATCTGTTAAAGAGTGCCAGTATTTGACTGGCTGGCAGTTCAATCTCCTTCTCAATATCCTCCACGATCTTGTGTTGCAGACCCAGGGATAGTAGTATACTCTACACAGATTGAAACAAATATATGCATGAAACACATTGTTACCTGTATATTCAAATCATTAACTGCCGATAAACATATACAGAAACACTGTGTTGGTTAGTTAAGTATCCTTTACAGGAAATTGCAGAATCAACCCCAACAGCCCCTGGCTGTTGTGTGGTTTTTCTGGGCAAATTTGTGTCCTGTAGTTTGCCAAGTTTTCTGGACGGTCTGCTTTTTTGATACCACTGTCAAAACCAACGCAAGGTGCATGGACCGCAGCTGGGATCGAACCCAACATTATGAAGCGTTCGCATCGACTTAGCCACAGAGCCGACTACACTGTGTTGACATGTGTTAATATTCTAGACTAGGTGACAGATGGCAAGGGAAATACATTAGCACACACAAACAATACAATTCCAATGTGCATTATGTAAGGTCAAAGCGTAATCATTCATCCCTGTGTGGGTTCCAGGCCCCATTGTGGGGAAAACAAGAACAGACCCACTGCCTACCCAACAAGCATGTCATAAGAGTCACATGGAGCTTTCTTCAAATTCGGAGTAAATCTGCCTGAGAGGCAAGGAACAAACTGTGCATGTAAATGAGTCAGACCTATGAAGAGGATATACACTCAACACTCAGTTTCTTGAACAGAACTAGAGTCTAGAAGTGGACAAACAACCAGAACTTTCCACTGGAGTTGAAAGTTGGTGAATACGAAGGAGACTGGCCGGCTCTGCACCACTTGGTGGTGAACTGATGTATGACAAGCTAGATATTGTGAGGCCCCTTTGGGAACAAGCGTCCCAAGCGCTTTGATGTTGATTCTTAATTCAACATTCAATCCTTTGCTATTGCACACAGCTCATCCCATGTCCTCAACCTTTTGACTTCAGTCGTCCAGTTCCCTCTATATGCATTTTCAGTCTGCCTCAATTCCTTTGACTCTGTATGTTTCAGTGCAAAAACATTCTAGTTTTACTGATATCTCTCTCAATGTGTATTTCCAGCTAACAGTGCCTTTCAACACCTGTTAAATATTCCTCCTATTACACAAAGAACAAACAGCAATTAAATTGCTTACACTCACTATCCCACTGTGGAGTTTCTGCAAATGATAAACTAGCCAAGGAAGGTGCAAATGAAGAACAACCTAACATACCAGTCTCTTATCAACAAAAGAAGAGAATAATCAAATCAATCAGACAACCACCAAAACAGGCACAAGACGATTACTATTTTATGGGCAGACCAGAGCAAGTCATTATTCTACGCCTTAGAACAGGACACAATTGACTTTGTACACAAAATTTAAAATCAGCGAATCAGCCATGTGCATATGTGGACTGGCACCTGAGACAACAGATCATGTCCTCCAAGACTGTCCCAAATACAACATATCAAGGCAATACTTTTGACCAAGAGAAACATTGGTGCAAGTCAAACTTTACGGGTCGCTGAGTGAAGACGGTGAAGTTCATACCAGAGACATCATTGCAGATATAGATAATCTATTTCAAGCGAATGAAAGAAGAAGAAGAAGAACCTACACTCTGTACAGCACTGAGATGTATGTTGATTCTCCCAGTAAAGAAAAGCCTAGCCAGTTCAGGCAGGAGGTCCACGATGAGATGGTAGTCCACCATGTTGCTGGCGTACAGCTCCAGTCGATGAATGTCATAGGTCGTCAAGCTCATCAGAAGCTCAGATTTACTTAGCTGACCTGAAATCAGAACATTAGCTGCTTTAGTCTGGGGTTTTTTTTTCTAATAAAAAAAAATTAAAAATATTACGAGACCAGAAATGCAAATAAAGCTGACAAACTCTTAACTAATGGAACCATATTAAAGACAAAACTGCCATTCATCATCATGTGCCCTGCCAACTAGCGTAGGCGCTTATGTGTCTCCACAGATCACGATCCCTGGTTGCCTGGAACAGCTCTCCTGAGGATATCCCTCCATGCCATCATTTCAGCCCATCCAGCATCGTCTCTCTTGGTCTGCCTCTACCCCTTTTTGCCACTAATCTTTCGAGTTGTCAGAATGTTCTCCAATGTCTCTCTTCTCCTTATGTGACCAAAGAACAGTGATCGTCTCTTTCATATTGTTGAATATAGAGATCTACTTTCATAAGCTTCTTGCAATCGGTGTTAGCTACTCAAGCCGTCCAAGGTATTCGTAACATTCGTCTCAGAAACCACATCTCTGTTGCTTCTAAATTCTTCCTAATTTGTTTACTGAGATTCCAAGATTCGCTGCCATACAGCAGAACAGGTTCTATGTAACAGCATTCTCTGTCATTACTGCCTGTATTTCCCACTTCTGCGGCCCAGGTGGGGGAATCTTTGAGCCCGAGGATTTAGGGCCACATGGCTAGTGCTGTCACCAAAGACCGTGCAGGTTATCATTTTATTTTTGCCCAGAACAGAAAAAAATCCGTTGCTGAGGATATTGACCTGGGTCTCTCGTGTGAGAGCCTAGTATTATTAACTGTTGAGCCAGCCGCTCCTTAAACCATATCTGCTGCTCCTTAAACCATTTCAGCCGCTCCATAAACCATATTAGCCGCTCCATAAACCATATCAGCCGCTCCTTAAACTATAACAGCCGCTCCTCAAACCATATCAGCCGCCCGCTCCTTAAACCATAACAGCCACTCCTTAAACCATATCAGCCACTCCTTAAACCATAACAGCAGCTCCTTAAACCATATCAGTCGTCCCTTCAGATATATCAGCCACTCCTTAAACCATATCAGCCACTCCTTAAACAATATCAGCCACTCCTTAAACCATAACAGCCACTCCTTAAACCATAACAGCCACTCCTTAAACCATATCAGCCGCTCCATACGCCATATCAGTCGCTCCATACGCCATATCAGTCGCTCCTTAAACAATATCAGCCACTCCTTAAACAATATCAGCCACACCTTAAACCATAACAGCCACTCCATAAACCGTATCAGCCACTCCATAAACCGTATCAGCCACTCCATAAACCGTATCAGCCACTCCTTAAACCATAACAGCCACTCCTTAAACCATAACAGCCACTCCTTAAACAATATCAACCGCTCCTTAAACCATATCAGCCGCTCCTTAAACCATATCAGTCGCTCCTTAAACAATATCAGCCACTCTTTAAACCATATCAGCCGCTCCTTAAACCATATCAGCCGCTCCTTAAACCATATCAGCCGATCCTTAAACCATATCAGCCGCCCCTTAAACCATATCAGCCACTCCTTAAACCATATCAGCCGCTCCTTAGACCATATCAGCCGCCCCTTAAACAATATCAGCCGCTCCTTAAACCATAACAGCCGCTCCTTAAACCATATCAGCCGCTCCTTAAACCATATCAGCCGCCCTATCTTAAACCATATCAGCTGCTCCTTAAACCATATTAGCCACCCCTTAAAACCAACTATTCGGCCGAATACGAATAGTGTATCATCATCATTAGGTGCCTTGCCGACTGGCGTGGGTGATCATGCCTCTCCACAATCTGCTATCTCCTGCAGCATGTATCAGTTCGTGTGCTGACACACCTCCATGCCATGCAACAAGACATTCAAAATTTTCCATCTTCTCATAACATGGTTGAAAAATGACGACTGTCTCCTTCTCATGTCTGTGATTAGTTGTCTTTGGGCTCCTGCCTCTTTCAAAACCATTGTTCGCTCGGCCGTTCGTTCGATGTAATTTAAACGCCCCTTTATATGCTCGTTAGCAGTATCTTCAAATTTGATTTGGGCGAAGACAACCTGAAAGAATGACAAATGCATGATCTCTGTCTCTCACACACACAGACACACACTCTCTTACACACACACACACGCACATACACACTGTGGTTGGCATTTTATGCAGTTTGTACCACGCAACCAGGTCGCAGTTTCCCCCGCTACGACAGACTTAGGCAACAGCAACTATTGTGATAATGAGAGTTATTTCAGTCCATCAAAATGTAAGCAGAAATGGGAGTAAGGTAACCACTATTCGTATTCGGCCGAATACCGAATAGTTATTAGGCCCACTATTCGGCCCCGAAGCGAATATTCGGTACAGCCATAGTTGTAATACCTCGCTGTCTAGGTGATGTTTAGTGTGTGTGTCGTGAATGTTCTTCTCAAACACTCTACATTGCATAACTGGTGCAAGCCGACACCGACTTAGCCGTACGAAACATTAGTTTATTGGCATGTTACAACTTACAGCAGTGTCCAGGCGTTGTCCTAATAACAGCTCTCGCACATCACTTCACGCAACCTTCAACTCGCAGGTTTCTCACGCATTCACTGACCAGACTCGGCTCCGTTATATCAGGTTGAGCTTCTTGCCATTACACAGACTGGCCTGGTTAATCTTGACTTCACACTTTGTCGTCAGGGTCTCCTTTTGCAACAAGCAATCTCACGTTGACATTCTTACGCTCAGTCTCCCATTCTCTCACTCCAACAAGTCGACACAAACTAACTTGAACAGAATCAAGTCTGACTTATACCACGGGTTAGTTTCATGTAGCAACACGTGGTGGTCCTTTACTTCCACGTGGCGACCTTTGGTCGTGTCCTTGTGATACACGTGATAACCCGTGGTTGTCACCTATCTCAAGATCCTCGTTTAATCCGAGTATCTAGAATATCTCGGTGTTTTGGGTTATCCTTGGGCCTACCCCTAACCTTCCTAATGTGGGTGAAAATATCCCCCATTACATCTAGAGTCAACTATTTACACTCACCAGAATCTGATGATTTATAGGCTTTGTTCTGTAAAATATTCAAAGCTAGCGCTGGCTTGAAAGCACGGAACTGGTAGGACAGCAAGGCAACAAACCTCTTGCGAAAATCTACAACATCAAAAGTAATAAATATATGATACAGCAAGCTAAACGACAAATAACATACGTTATGTGCAACAGTAAAAATGTAAATGCCCCTTAGACATGCCAGTAGCACATGTTGCATTTGATTGAAGACTCATATTTGTGCAGACTAATAGGAACTAGACGTGTGATTTGGTCAACAAACAGGCCGGCTGCCTTTTCTTCCCACTATATTGCCTGGTTTCCATTTGAAGCTGGGCTGAACTCTTCTTCTTCTTCTTCTTCACGTTCACTGGCTGTAAACTCCGGCACAAAGTTCTGGTTGTTTGTCCACCTCTGGACTTTAGTCTTGTTACAGAATCTGAGTATTGCGTGCTCATCAGTTTAGAAAATCTGATTAACGGTATGCAGGTTGTTAGTTTCTTGCTTCTTAGGCAGATGCACTTCGACTTTCAAGGATGCCCTCAATAAGTCGACTCTTATGACATGCTTACTGGGGAGGCAGTGGGTCTATTCTTTGTTTTCTCCACAATGGTCCCCAGAACCCACACAGAGATGCTGGGCTGACCGGGAAGCCAAGGTCAATTTTTTTTTTTTTTTTTTTGGGAAATCTGTCTAGTGCAGTCTGTTCTTTTTTTTCAATTTTTTAAAAATCGTTTTGAGAAGGATAAAACACGATTACCAGACCAGAGTCTGAACCCTGCACATCAAGAAATCAACCTACTTTAATCCATACGTGTCCATAATAACTCATTTTTCTGCAGGCAAATATCTGATATTAAGTAACTGACAAACATATGCAAAGACAGATGCAGGCATTAGACTTTCTTCTATTCAATCTTCTTAATCCTGCATCTACACAAGAAATACTGAATACATATAGGACAGACTTTTGCCAACATCAGACTGGAGGATGGAGGATGGTAGGGAGAGATAGAAGCCAGAGTACAGAAGGCAAATGCTGTCACCTACCAGTTAGCCCCAAATGTCTACCATCCAGCAAAACAGCAGGTGATTAATAGCATCTTTATCCCTACTTTATGTTATCAGCACCAAACATGGACAATAAACATGGCACTAGAACAGAAAAAAACTATACATGAAATGCACTCTCTCCGCAAGGTCACTAACAACACAAGGAGAGACAGGGTTACTAATACCAACCTTAGAAAGAAAGTTGGAATAAAACCATGTCTGGATTACATTGACAAAGAATGAAATGGTTCAACCATCTAGTGAGAATGCAACCAGACCAAACTGCACATGAGACCTTTTACAGTAAAACATCTTGGAGGAAGGTGAGAGGAAGAACAAGAGAGAGAGAGTTGAATAAATGGTGTAACCAAAAACTGAAAAAAGATTTTAAAAATCAATCACCCAAGCCAACCAACAAGCACAAAACAAATATAGAAAAACATGACATTGGGCTACAACTTGGCATCAGTTTAGTTGAGCCAAGAAATGATATCACAGCACTCAGGCCATTCCCATGTGTGCTCCGTCCTCATCTTCAACAGCCAGCGCAGAGTTCCAATACTGATGGTACCAGTCACAATGAGGTTATATGTCCGTCTTGCCTTTCCTCAGAGTAGTGAGCCGGCCAGATCCTCTGGTTACACCCAGGTGCCTCATTCTCTCCAGGCCATAATAATCTTGTTTCTCTACTGATTCTGATTCCGTTGCTTGTTCCTAAAGGGCCTTGACCATATCTGCCTTGTCATGTATCAGTTCACCCCCCAGTGGTGCAGATCCAGCCAATCTGTGTAAATTTCAGAATGCTTTTGTAGCCATGCTGTCATACTATTCTTATATTTTATATGAAATCTGTTGTTAACACTGTCAACCAACCAATAAGTAAGGATATTGATCACTCACATTTGAAAACATCATTTCTCAAACTGTATCCAGTTTGACAGACAATTCTTCAAACTATCCCACTGTATACAGAAACCACTGGATACAATTCCTCTCATTGATTAGCCATAGACTACAGCGGATGCCATCACTCCTCTAAAACTCATATGAGATCTGCCCTTGGACACACCATGAGTATGTGGCATGAATGAAGGGTCTGTTAGGTGGACTATGACACCAAACTAAATGACAAATGATAAAACTGACCTTTCCAGAAGGCCTCCAGCCATGCCTGCCTCTCTTGATCCTCCTGTGAGGTGTTCAGTGTTTTCAACATGATGCAAGAGTGCTCCCCTGTCAGCTCATTCTGTCAAATATTCATCAAAGTTAACCAGCACAGACAGAACTTAGCCAGCACAGACAGAACTGAGCCAGCACAGACAGAACTGAGCCAGCACAGACAGAACGTAGTCAGCACAGACAGAACTTAGCCAGCACAGACAGAACTTAGCCAGCACAAACAGAACAATGTCTTTACAGTGTCAATCAAGATAAAATTTCTACATTTTTTTAATTTACTGCTCCTTCGCACAAACCTGCCTCTGGTATATACAACTTCCCCCCTCATCTGCCTCTGGTATATACAGTTTGCCCCTTCATCTGCCTCTGGTATATACAATTTGCCCCTTCATCAGTCTCTGGTATATACAACTTGCCCTCTTATCTGCCTACATCTGTATATACTACATGTGCTCTCATATCTTAATCTAGTATTTACTTTTTGTCTCTCCATTTGGTATTTATGGCTTTTCCTTGCATATTGACATCTGGTGTTAATGTGTCTCATTTACGTCTGGTATTTACTACTGGTCCTCTCGTATATAAATCTAGTATTTACTACTTCTCATGTATACATCCGACACTACTGGTCCCCTCATATCTACATCTGGTATTTACTTCACATCCCCTTATATCTACAAGTGGTTCTCTCATACCCACATGCAGCATTTAATACCCATCCCCTCATATCTACATTTATTCCTGTCATATGTCATTACTGTCCTCCCATCTTTACTACTTTCTTTACGCCTACATCTTGCTCAAATATCTACTGTCTTTAGAGTCATCATTTTTAAACAATTTCTACTAAAGATTCACTTCTTAACAGGTTATTTCATTCTGGAAGGCGTTCCCAAAAATATACAACCTATTCTCTCAGTATAAAGAATGCAAGCATAGCTTTGACATACTTACAGAAGTCTGCCGCATGTACACAGGGATGTAACCAGCTTTCTTCCAGAACCTGAACAAGGGAGATAAATATATTTACTGACTGAAGCTGCCGAGATGTTCTAAATTAAAAAATTTTTTTTTTAGATAGTGGTGCGCATGTAAGATATAAATGCTGACATAATGAACTACACTCATCAAACAATTAGAAAGAGGAGAATGTAATTTATGGAACACCCAACAGAATAGATTAGGTCAAGTAAGTGAAGAACCACGCGAATAAGAGAAGAAACTTTGGGGAGAATGGTAGAGAAAGATTGTAAAATGGTCGAACTTGTCAGGCAAATCAACTTTATTAACCTAACAGAAGGCACAGATTAGAGTCATACAAGCCAAAGCCCCTTGGCGATGGTATCAACAGACTTCTAAAGCTGTGTGTGCACCAGGCATTTGTAATTAAGCTGTGAGGAAAGGCTTCATTTGATCGTGCCTCATAATATTTGATAATTATAATTTGTAACGGCTCTTCATCTGTGATTACCTTTAAAAGAGACATTCTACACTTTATATCTACCCTTGAAGATATCTACCTTTTTATCCCAACATATTCCCAATTCCAGTAAATCATAGTTAGTTACCTTTTACAACATGCTTGTTAAGGGGAAGTGAGTTGATAACCCTGCTTCCCCTAACTGGGGTCTTAGGCCCCACATGTGGAGTTTGCAACAGTTGTGTGTGACTCTTTTTGTCTGGCCCCTATTGCTTGACCTGTCCATTTGGAATGGTGGACCCTAGAAGTAGTTATGCTCCCTTCACCCTAGCCGTTGGAGTCACTGAGACATGCAATCCCCTTAGCTGCTAGAAATTACACAGGAGCAGAAACATGACACTTTGTGAAGATAACAGTGCATTCATCTGTAATATAAATTACCTGAAGAGGTCAGAGGTCAAGCCGTATGAAACGCCAAGATAATCCAAACCTTCCGGCCGCCTGTCAGTTAGTTTCACCAACAGGGGAGGTAAGTGCTTCCTAGGCTGGATCTGCTCATCCAGCAAGGTTATACTCTGTGTCGAAAACAAAACCAACAATTAAACCAGACAATTAACCAGGAAATAAAACAATTAAAACAGACAAATTACAAAACAGTGAACAATAAACCATGCCCTTGTAAAGCCGTTTCAGTTACATTTCTGTTTTTATTATTATGTGCTGATGAAGGCTTGTCGGCTAAAATATCCTAGCAAGTAATCTGCAAATCAATGCCAACTGAACTGTCTTACTGATCTTTCAGAAAATGTACTTAAAATAAAGACTGTGTGCCCAGTGTTGTGACGACATCACCTAGTGACTTCTCTACTGGAAATTGTTTTTTTCACTTTGTTCCATTCGAGTCCTCTGTCAGTCAGGGACTGTCCAATGTTGTCTTCCCAATGAACTCTGGGTGGTCCTGGCTCCCTGATTCTCGCCCCCTCCCGTACCTGCCATGTGCACTGAGTTCTGTGATGTCATTTCTGGACTCAACAAAATTCCTCCAGAGTTTACAGCTGGTTAATGCTAAGAATAGGAAGAAACAGGTACAAACCATGTTCAGCTTTACAGACACAGAGCACAGCTGAAACTTGTAGTTCAGTGGGGGGATGTGATCTAATGGTGTGAGATGGGCGATGACAACAGAAAGGGAATGTGCCAGTCCTGACCTAATGGTGTGAGATGGGCGATGACAACAGTAGGGGAATGTGCCAGTCCTGACCTAATGGTGTGAGATGGGCGATGACAACAGTAGGGGAATGTGCCAGTCCTGACCTAATGGTGTGAGATGGGCGATGACAACAGTAGGGGGATGTGCCAGTCCTGACCTAATGGTGTGAGATGGGCGATGACAACAGTAGGGGGATGTGCCAGCCCTGACCTAATGGTTTGAGATGGGCAATGACAACAGTAGGGGGATGTGCCAGCCCTGACCTAATGGTGTGAGATGGGCGATGACAACAGTAGGGGGATGTGCCAGCCCTGACCTAATGGTTTGAGATGGGCGATGACAACAGTAGGGGGATGTGCCAGCCCTGACCTAATGGTTTGAGATGGGCAATGACAACAGTAGGGGGATGTGCCAGCCCTGACCTAATGGTGTGAGATGGGCGATGACAACAGTAGGGGGATGTGCCAGCCCTGACCTAATGGTGTGAGATGGGCGATAACAACAGTAGGGGGATGTGCCAGCCCTGACCTAATGGTGTGAGATGGGCGATGACAACAGTAGGGGGATGTGCCAGCCCTGACCTAATGGTTTGAGATGGGCAATGACAACAGTAGGGGGATGTGCCAGCCCTGACCTAATGGTGTGAGATGGGCGATGACAACAGTAGGGGGATGTGCCAGCCCTGACCTAATGGTTTGAGATGGGCGATGACAACAGTAGGGGGATGTGCCAGCCCTGACCTAATGGTTTGAGATGGGCAATGACAACAGTAGGGGGATGTGCCAGCCCTGACCTAATGGTGTGAGATGGGCGATGACAACAGTAGGGGGATGTGCCAGCCCTGACCTAATGGTGTGAGATGGGCGATGACAACAGTAGGGGGATGTGCCAGCCCTGACCTAATGGTGTGAGATGGGCGATGACAACAGTAGGGGGATGTGCCAGCCCTGACCTAATGGTGTGAGATGGGCGATGACAACAGTAGGGGGATGTGCCAGCCCTGACCTAATGGTTTGAGATGGGCAATGACAACAGTAGGGGGATGTGCCAGCCCTGACCTAATGGTGTGAGATGGGCGATGACAACAGTAGGGGGATGTGCCAGCCCTGACCTAATGGTTTGAGATGGGCGATGACAACAGTAGGGGGATGTGCCAGCCCTGACCTAATGGTTTGAGATGGGCAATGACAACAGTAGGGGGATGTGCCAGCCCTGACCTAATGGTGTGAGATGGGCGATGACAACAGTAGGGGGATGTGCCAGCCCTGACCTAATGGTGTGAGATGGGCGATGACAACAGTAGGGGGATGTGCCAGCCCTGACCTAATGGTGTGAGATGGGCGATGACAACAGTAGGGGGATGTGCCAGCCCTGACCTAATGGTTTGAGATGGGCGATGACAACAGTGGGGGATGTATGAGATGGGTGATGACAACAGTGGGGGGATGTATGAGATGGGCAATGACAACAGTGAGGGAATGTGCCAGCCCTGACCTAATGGTGTGAGATGGGCAATGACAACAGTGGGGCGATGTATGAGATGGGCAATGACAATAATGGGGGAATGTGCCAGTCCTGACCTAATGGTGTGAGATGGGCAATGACAATAATGGGGAAATGTGCCAGCCCTGACCTAATGGTGTGAGATGGGCACTGACAATAATGGGGGAATGTGCCAGTCCTGACCTAATGGTGTGAGATTGGCAATGACAACAGTGAGGGAATGTGCCAGTCCTGACCTAATGGTGTGAGATGAGCAATGACAACAGTGGGAAGATGTGCCAGCCCTGACCTAATGGTGTGAGATGGGCAATGACAACAGTGAGGGAATGTGCCAGTCCTGACCTAATGGTGTGAGATGGGCAATGACAACAGTGGGGAGATGTGCCAGCCCTGACCTAATGGTGTGAGATGAGCAATGACAACAGTGGGGAGATGTGCCAGCCCTGACCTAATGGTGTGAGATGAGCAATGACAACAGTGGGGAGATGTGCCAGCCCTGACCTAATGGTGTGAGATGAGCAATGACAACAGTGGGGAGATGTGCCAGCCCAGACCTAATGGTGTGAGATGAGCAATGACAACAGTGGGGAGATGTGCCAGCCCTGACCTAATGGTGTGAGATGAGCAATGACCTATGTTGGTTTACTAGACTTTTTTGGCTACCTGTATAGTGTCCATATTCGGTGACACATCTTTTGACCTGAAGTTCTTGCAGTCTCTTGAGTGTTGCTAATTCAACATCGTCTCCTAAATCACAACGAAATGAACTGATAACGATTTAAAGAAATATCACTGCTCTTTTTACAGACTACAACTGAGAACAAAAGCCAGTCAGACAGACACAAGTCAGACGGACACAATTCAGACTGACCTCATCAGAAACTTCCTTGACTTTGCTCTCCTCGCTATTATCATCACTGCCCTCATCTTCCATTTCTTCCTGCTCGGTTTCCTTGAGACTGGGGAATTTCCCTTCGTAATACTGCTGCAACTGCTCTAGAGCCCTGGAGCCATAGCCCATCTGATGAAAGAGAACAGCAACATGTAATATCTGACACAGCAAGCAATCTGTGGAAGCGAGCAATGGGTGGAAGCAATGTGTGAAAGCAAGCAATGTGAGGAAGCAAGAAATGTGTACATGCAAGCAATGTGTTGGAAGCAAGCAATGTGAAGAAGCAAGCAATGTGTGGGAGCAAGAAATGAATGGAAGCAAGGGGGGATTTTAAATCAAGCCTCCTATAAACTGTGCTAACCCCCCCCCCCCCCCTCCCCCAGCAATGTGTGGAAAAGTATGTGGAAACAATGTGCGGAAGCAAGCAATGCGTGGAAGAAAGCAATGTGCGGAAGCAAGCAATGTGTAGAAGCAAGCAATGCGTGCAACAGCAGCTTCAGGGAATAAATCCTCTTCTCCTTCTTAGCCTTCAGCAGTTGTCCTCTCTTTCTTTCGCATTTACCAGCTGTAAACTCCGACGGAAAGTTCTGGTTGTTCGTCCAGTTCTGGACCATAGTCTTCTTCCACAACTGAAGTTTTGAGTGCACATTAACTGTACAGATCTGGCTTATTTGTGTGCAGACTGTTGGTTCCCCAACTCTGAGACAAAGAAGGAATTATGAGGTCACCCATCTGCAGTAAAGCAGGAACCTCAACTGGCTTAACTAAATAACAGTAATTCACACAAAAACAGACAATCAGCAAATGTGTCTTACCCCTTGATAGTCTGGATGGGTGGCTATTCTCACGACTCTAGCTCCAGAGAGACCTGGGAAATCATTGTCCTGATACTGAACAGACAAAAAACACAGCTTATTGACTATTCATCAAATACCATCACTGGCACAACATGTTTATATATATAAAAAAAAAACAATAACAAGAGGTTGGCCACACACAAAAAATGCAGATCAGCAACACTTTATGCCCTCACGACATGACAAATGTAACCTTTCTTATGCAGACAGTAAAAAAAATATTACCTAAACAGACAGTAAAATGTAACTTTATTTATGCAAACAGTAAAATATAACATTACCTATATAGAATAAAATATAACGTTACCTAAACAGACAGTAAAATGTAACTTTTTTATGTAGACAGTAAAATATAACATTACTTATACAGAATAAAATATAACGTTACCTAAACAGACAGTAAAATTAACTATTTATGCAGACAGTAAAATATAACATTACCTATATAGAATAAAATATAACGTTACCTAAACAGACAGTAAAATGTAACTTTTTTATGTAGACAGTAAAATATAACATTACTTATACAGAATAAAATATACCATTACCTAAACAGACAGTAAAATTAACTATTTATGCAGACAGTAAAATATAACATTACCTATACAGAATAAAATATACCATTACCTAAACAGTCAGTAAAATGTAACCTTGTTTACTGCAGAACCAACCCCAGCATTACTTTTTTTTGCCGCTGTGGTTTTTCTAGACACATTTTCCATTCAGTAGTTTGTCACGGCTATCTGAATGGTCAGCTCTTGGTGCCACTATTGACACCAACACAAGATGTTCTGCTGCTAAACTGCCCGCAGCTGGGCAAACCTCGCACCCTGGCATTACAAAGCGGGTTCGCCACACCTAACAGACACTGACAACTTGCTTATGCAGAAAGAAAATACACTACCTATACAGACAGTAATATATAACATAACCTGTTATATATATAAAAAAAAAAAAAAGTACCCTCTTCCACACATTTAGGCGTATAGGGCATATAGGGTTAGACCTATATTTTATACACCAATTGGCACAAGATGGGTGATGTGGTCAGCATCACGCCGGCCGCCTTTACTTCCCATAACTGCATCCGGTACCTACTCAAGGCTGGGTCGACCTGGGAGCCAAAGTCATTTCTGAAAAGTCCGGTTCCGCCGGGGAGCGAACCCGCGACTTTCTGTTCCGCGGCGAGCGTCTAGCTGCTCTGCCTCAACGACTCCCTACATTACCTTACAGAGTAAAATGTAACTTTACCCATTTAGACGCCAGGGCAATGTGTACCATCTGCACCACAAACATATTAACTCACCTGCTGAGACACTGTCCATGGAATAAGATCCCCTGATGCCCTCTTGCCCCTCTGTAAGCTGTTGATGATGGTGTTTCTGGATATCTCACCCTCCAGACAAACCTTCACAAAACGACCACAAAGGCTGTTAGCATTCTGCCACATCCAGTCATCAAAAGTGCACAATAGGAGGACTTTGCAGACAACATCCCAACAAAGTGCAGAAGGATGACACCACAGATTCCTGGACCCCACACACATCTCTGGTATCCAGTCCCTTCTTCTTGTTCTTAGCCTCTTCAAGCTCTAAACTCTAGTGGAAGGTTTTGGTTGTCTGTCTACTTCTGGACTTCAAATCTTGATCCAGAACCCAAGTTATGCAGGCAAATCCACTTCACAAATCCACTGTTGGGTTCCTCGGCTCTAAGGCAAAATAATGCTGACGTCAAAGGAAACACCCCGAATTAGTCACCATTTATGACAAGCTTGTCAGGACAGTGGGTCTATCCCCAAGAAAACAAAAACCCAAACCCCCTACCATCCCCCCCCCCCCACCCCCCCCCCCCCCCCCCCCCCCCCCCCCCCCCCCCACCCCCCCCCCCCCCCCCCCCCCCCCCCCCCCCCCCCCCCCCCCCCCCCCCACAATCAGGCACTAGGATCTACACAGGGAGTCCTGGAGTATACTTTTGAAAATGTACTTAAAAATAAAAAAAACGTCCTTTTATGACCATGTATAACATCTACAGAAACAACAAGCAAGTAGCTTCTGGAGAACAATAGTACAAGAGCTATGTAGTGGACAAGACTGAAGCCTCACCAATTAACATTACCAAAGACATCAATGGATGCACTATAGTCAATCTCAATTGTGGAGATGGTACAAGAGTTAACTGACACAGTGATGAACAAAGCAGAAAGATAATGAACCTATAAACATTTGCAATATATGAAAGCTAAAAAGTCAGAATAATTATTTAAAGATTATATTTACAACTCCAAAAAAGTTCACTGGCTGTAAATTCCGGCAGAAAGTTCTGGTTGTTCCTCCACCTCTAGATGTTTAGTCTTGTTCCAGAACCTGAGTGTTGCATGTATATCCATCTTACGGATCTGCAGATTGCTGGTTGCTTTTCCCTTAGGCAGATGTACTCCATCTTCGAAGAAAGCCCCCAGTTAGTTCACTGTGACAACATGCTTGTTGGGGAGGCAGTGGGTGTGCCCGTTTTCCCCACAAGGGAACCCAGAACCCAGACCCCACAGAGGCAGATTAGTGAATGTGATGTTCCCTTTTCTTATGGAACACATAACTTCCTTCTTCTCAGAAAAAAGTTGATTATAAGCTTTTATTTTGTTTCAAATTGTTTGTTGGTTTGTTTAAGTGGCCGTTTGTGTTTTATTTTTATATCTTTTTAGTGCAGATAGGTTAAAAAAAATCTTACATTTAAAAAAAAGTCTTTAGAAGGGAAAACAAGAAATGTAAGAACATCTTCTTCTTCTTCACCAGCTCTAAACTCTGGCAGAAAGTTCTGGTTGTTCATACACTTCTGGACTGCAGTCCTGTTCCAAAACCTGAGTATTGCATGTGCATCAGTTTTACAGATCTGATTTATTTGTATGCAGACTGCTGGTTCCTTGCCTCTCAGGCAGATGCACTCCAACTTCGAAGGAAGCTCCCAATTAGACTACTCTTACGATATGCTTTTAGGTAGGAAGTTGGTCTATTCTTGTTTTCCCCACAATGGACCCCCGGAACCCACACAGGGAATAAGAACATCTTACCTGTAAGACACACAAAACTTCAGGCAGCTCTCCCTGTGATGAAGCCAGGTAACCCACACGGAGAATAAGATCTTACCTGTAAGACACACAAAACTTTGGGCAGCTCTCCCTGTGATGAAGCCAGGTAACCCACACGGAGAATAAGATCTTACCTGTAAGACACACAAAACTTCAGGCAGCTCTCCCTGTGATGAAGCCAGGTAACCCACACGGAGAATAAGATCTTACCTGTAAGACACACAAAACTTTGGGCAGCTCTCCCTGTGATGAAGCCAGGTAACCCACACGGAGAATAAGATCTTACCTGTAAGACACACAAAACTTCAGGCAGCTCTCCCTGTGATGAAGCCAGGTAACCCACACGGAGAATAAGATCTTACCTGTAAGACACACAAAACTTTGGGCAGCTCTCCCTGTGATGAAGCCAGGTAACCCACACGGAGAATAAGATCTTACCTGTAAGACACACAAAACTTCAGGCAGCTCTCCCTGTGATGAAGCCAGGTAACCCACACGGAGAATAAGATCTTACCTGTAAGACACACAAAACTTCGGGCAGCTCTCCCTGTGATGAAGCCAGGTAACCCACACGGAGAATAAGATCTTACCTGTAAGACACACAAAACTTTGGGCAGCTCTCCCTGTGATGAAGCCAGGTAACCCACACGGAGAATAAGATCTTACCTGTAAGACACACAAAACTTCAGGCAGCTCTCCCTGTGATGAAGCCAGGTAACCCACACGGAGAATAAGATCTTACCTGTAAGACACACAAAACTTCAGGCAGCTCTCCCTGTGATGAAGCCAGGTAACCCACACGGAGAATAAGATCTTACCTGTAAGACACACAAAACTTCGGGCAGCTCTCCCTGTGATGAAGCCAGGTAACCCACACAGAGAATAAGATCTTACCTGTAAGACACACAAAACTTCGGGCAGCTCTCCCTGTGATGAAGCCAGGTAACCCACACGGAGAATAAGATCTTACCTGTAAGACACACAAAACTTCGGGCAGCTCTCCCTGTGATGAAGCCAGGTAACCCACACGGAGAATAAGATCTTACCTGTAAGACACACAAAACTTCGGGCAGCTCTCCCTGTGATGAAGCCACGGGGCCCAGCAGAACAAATATGTGATGTGCTGGAGCATCTGACAGCAATTGCAGATCATTGGGGGAGTTCTGGCAGAAACCAAACAATGTCAATTAGGACTTTGACAAGTCATCAAACAAAGTCCATTAGGACTTTGACAAGACAGTCATCGAACAATATCAGTTAGGACCTTAACAAGCGTCATAAAACAGTGTCAGTTTGGACCTTAACAAGACAGTCATCAAACAGTGTCAGGACTTTGACAAGACAATGATCAAACGGGTCAGATAGGACTTTAACAAGACAGCCATCAAACAATGTCAGTTAGGACCTTAAGGGGTCACTACACAAAACATTTTTTTATTTACAGACTTTGAGCAGTTATTTTATAATGGCCATTTGTAGGGATACATTTTATTACATTTGTATACTTTAAGTGTTAAAAAATCATAATTGTCATGGCAATAGCCGTCATCTTGTGAAAAAAACAATATGTACTTAGAATCCTCAAATTTTAAAAGCAAACAGGTATTCAACAATAGATGATAGATCCATGACCTTTCACCCTATTTAGAGGTACTGGTGTAGTTTATTTACTTTAAACATGTTTTTAAATATTTTTCGTAGAATTTTAAAATGTAGGTTTATTGAAAAAGTCAAAAAAATCTAGCATCATTAGACAATAATCAAATTTTAGAAACAAAAACTTTCTAAAATCTTATTTTAGATAAACCAGTCCCTATAATATTGTTTATGGAGTATGCATACAAAATTTAATGATTCTACTCTTCATATTAGCTTAGATTTTAGGATTTCACACACACAGCAAACTGAAATATAAAGATTTGAGAAAACTGACTTTTAAACTTTTTTTTATCTTAAAAAAGTGCACGAGGTGGTGTCATTAGTATTAACTTTTCAATGCTAAATTGTTTACAAATGACATAAATTTTTTGTGTCATCTATTGTACGAATGCCGAACTTTAAAAACGAACACATTGAAAAAGTGATATTTTTGTCATAAATTGGGAAATATGCAGTGTAGTGACCCCTTAACAAGACAGTCATCAAACAGTGTCAGTTAGGACCTTAACAAGACAGTCATCAAACAGTGTCAGTTAGGACCTTAACAAGACAGTCATCAAACAGTGTCAGTTAGGATTTTGACAAGACAATGATTAAACAGGTCAGATAGGACTTTAACAAGACAGTCATCAAACAATGTCAATTGGACTCTTGACCCATCGTGCTGTTGTAGTGTTTCTCTAATGTTGTCTTCCCAGATAGTTCTTGGTCTACCTTGTGCTCTATGTCCTTCTCCTCTTTTGGTATATGTCTTGTATGCTATGGCGTCACAGAGTATTCTTATTGGGCAGGCCTTTTGATTTGTTGTTACCTTCTTTCTTCTTCTTCTTTTGTCATCTGACCAGGTTGTAGCCCAGCGTCGTGTTTTCTGTATCTGTATTGCACTTTTTTGGTGATAGATCTGTTCATCTTTTTGCAGGTTCAGCTACACCATTTATCCATCTCTTGCTTGGATTTCCTCTAGCCTTCCTCTCGGATGTTCTGCTATAAAAAGTCTCACATACAGTTTGGCCTGGCTGCATTCTCATTAGATGACAAACCATTTCATTCTTTGTCTGTCAGTAAAATCTAGACATAGTCCTATTCCAACTTTCCCTCTAATGCTGGTATTCGTAATCCTGTCTACTCTTGTGTTGTAAGCGACCTTGCGGAGACAGCGCATTTCACATGTAGTTAATTCCTGTCCTAGTACCCTAGTCATTGTCCATGTTTGGCACTGATAACATAAAGTTATCAATACTATGTCACAAAATTAGTCACTGGGATGGTACTCAGCTACCAGACGCTGCAATAATCCACTCCCAATCGATCCCCCTTCCAGCATTCACACAACCTGTACACCAATTTATCGGATATCAGAGTTAAAGCTCAAAGTCTTCGACAGAATTTGCAACCATCAACAATCTAAAACATTCAATGACAACTAAAATACATTTGCAAGCAGGGTGTTGCATAAGTTTTCACACACACACACACACACAAAACGTACCACCAACACCATACAAGCATAACCCATGCTGTGCTTACACACGTTCTTCAGTCGTAGAGTATAGCCACTGAAATGTGTTTAAAAACAACCATTATCGTGTAGACCATATTATATGGTATCATCATCATCCCGTAAAACTACGTGTTGCTGGGTCATCAGTTTCTTTTCAGGGTCTGATCAGCTCTCTCCACCTTTGGAGAGATCAGTTGCGATCAACATCATGGTTGAATGCCTGAGGCCTGTGCAGTCAGTCTGGTTCTGTAACCAGGTCTTTCTTGGTCTGCCTCTTCTCCTCTTTCCCTCTAATGGGTACTGCAGTTTTGTTTTTGTGACAGGCAGTTAGATCTTATTACATGTCCATACTATTAAAATTTTTGCCTTTTCACTGTAGTTAAAAGATATTCATAGTTGCCAATGTCAATAGCATGGTGCGTCTCGGGCAGTATTTCAACCCTGGCAGGGCCCACTCCTCTCCAAGTAGCCATTTCCCTGTTAACCTGTATCCTCACGGATAGTTTTCAGTCTGCACCACGGGAAGGTGGGGCTGGCTTGTGCGATCACGGGACAGCAGCAGGCTACTAATTTTCATTTTTCACCCTCCTGGGAGAGCTAGCTACCCCTAACACTGCTGGCTGCAGTGCCAGGCATAACCACACCTTACAGACGCTATATTATATGGTACATATCACAAAAATCGCCCCATCTTGTCGGGCGCAGGATTTCATGCCGGCTCCCATTCATGTTGTGGTGGTTCCCAGGGGCTGTCCTATGTTGTAGGGATGTTAGCGTTGTTGTTAGGATGTTAGGATATGCGTTTCTTTGCCTTTGCCATCTGAATACACTGTGCTGGAAAGCAACTCCCATTCATTTGAGAACTGAAACGAAACTGTAGAGCACGTTCGTGGCAGGCAACATTTAGCAACTTTTTGTGTGTGAGTGCATCAGTGAGTGTTCAACTAGTTTTCTGTTCTCAGTCAACTAGGTCTCTTGTGAAAGCGTCACTGGTTTGAGAATTGGTTTTATTTTGGGGCAGGCCCTGGGTCAAGTTACCAAGTAAGGCAGCAGTGATAGCGACGATGAGCGAATGCACAATGCAACTAACACATACAGTGCCGGCCGCTCACAATGTGGGAAATTCCTTCGAAGTCGGAGTACATCTGTCTGAGAGGCAAGGAAAATGAGTCAGACCAGTGAAATGGATGTACACGCAACATTCATGTTCTGGAAGAGGACTAGTCCAGAAGTGGATGTAACCAGAACTTTCCACCGCTTACATCCGGTGAACGCGCAGAAGATGTAAAAAAAATAGTATGTGTTGACTGCTCACAAGTGTTACAAATTACAAAACATGACGCTCCCAGAACACAGAACATCATGACGAGATGATTTTCGTGATATCTACCTATAATAATTTTTTTTAATGGTTTTCATCACAATCGTCTATTTTACTTATGTATGAGAACTTAAGAGACATCCTGTGGTTTAACTAAACCACTCAACCAACCTCTCTCTCTCTCTGTTTGTACTCCACCAGGACATCACACAAGCGATAAACACTCGGTGACACAAAGACCACCATGCGGATGAGGATCACCCATGGAGAGATCCCGGAAACCCCTTTCAGCCGTTATGGCCACAATTGCGGCCCAGCTAAATTTCAGCGCCCTCGGCAAAAACCAGGGTGGGGCGTCAAATAAAGAAAAATTGCATCCCACAAGGGGATGACTTTATAGTTACTCAACCAACCTTGTAGTGAGATGAAACATAGAGTGAAACCACTCAACCAACCTTGTAGTGAGATGAAACATACAGTGCCATAACCCTGTGGAGGAACTTCTCTGAGGCCGGATGATATGAAAACAAGGTATCTCTGTTGACATAGTACAACTGGCATGTCGCTGGCAGCGGACATCCCGATATAGAACGTGGAATAGAACTGGCATCCAGACACAATAATCGGTTCAGCCATGACTCCACAGGGTCACCGTTGGCATATCGAATGGACTCTTTCAATTCCACTTCATGAAGAACTCGGCCTAGAAAAGATAATAATAATAAAAACCATTTCAGTAAAGACTACTAATGAAAGGAACCACACATACATTTCTTCCTCTTCTGTCAATTTTTGCTTCGTACTGCTAATGTATCACAGATGATAAGTGGCTGAGCCAGGATATGCTCTGCCGCTCTGTATGCTGTAATTCTTCTTCTTCTTCTTTGTTCACTGACTGTGAGCTCCGGCGGAAAGTCCTGGTCGTCGTGCATTTAGACTCTGGCTTTGTGCCAGGGCCTGAGTTTTGCGTGTACATCCGATTTACTGACTTATTTGTGTGCAGTTGGTTGTTCCTTGCTGCTCGGTCAGATGCACTCCAACTTCAAAGGAAATCCCCAGTTAGTCTACTCCTACGACATGCTTGCTGGGAAGGCAGTGGATCTATTCTTGTTTTCCCCACAATGAGACCCCGGAACCCACATGGGAAGCTGTGATACTGTAGTCTCAGGTAGTCAGTGACTTATTCCATCCATCTTCTTCTAGCTCAGCATGAGAAGGTTTCAAGGGGCGTTAAACAAGTTTGAGATTGAGTGCCTTTGTATTTGTATTTACAATACTTTTTTAGTTAAATTATAAATAAAATATTTTTAAAACTATTTATAAAATAAAAAAGCCCAAACTTTTAGATTTCATAAGCAGTTTGCATCAAAAGTAAAAAAATTGAGTTATTGAATTTATATGATAACACAGGTCTTTAATTATAGGATTAAACACACATTCTCACCAAAACCTATCTCCTTGCTGTTTCCAGTGTTGCAGAATCTACTGTCCTATTTTCAAACACATTTTGTTAAGTGAGGGAGGGAAGGTGTGGGAGTCCTGCCACTGCACTCAAGGGGCGCTGGGTGGGGAGGAGCTTGCCTCACACTCAAGGGGCGCCGAAGGTGGGGGGGAGGGGGGATCTTGCAGTATACTCTCAGGGGGTGGGGTACTGAACAGAACCCACATTGTGAAAACCTGACAATAGTTTTATCAGAATGTCTTTGTAATAAACCCACATAGCAAAAGATACAGAAGGGCCTTTAATCAGAGAAAAGATTTGCAAGCAGAGATGAGGAGGACATGCACGGAGGTACCAAGAACCAAGTGTTGACTGTGAATATGCAACCAGACTGCAAGAACTGCAAGTTAAAAAACGAGTTTGGCCAGACAACAACACTATGCAGAAAGGCTAAGACAGATAAGAAAGCTACACAGAATTGGTGTCTTCAGCCGCTACATGCTGAGAGATTTACTGGGGAGAGGATCCAAAAACTTGTGGACTGAATGGTTTGATGTGCTAAACAAAAATCATCATCATCATGTGCCCTGCCAACTGGCGTAGGCACTCATGTGTCTCCACAGTTCAAAATTCTTGGTTGCCTGGTACAGCTCTCTTGATGATTTCCCTCCCTGCCATCGTTTCAGTCCATCCAGTACCATCTCTCTTGGTATGCCTCTACCCCTTTTTCCACTGATCTTTCCAGTTGTCACAATGTTCTCCAATGTATCTCTTCTCATTATGTGGCCAAAGAACAGTGTTTGTCTCTTGCAAAACAATCAACACTTCCCCCAAAAAAGTGAACAGCTAAAACTGACCTGAAGCCGATGTGTCCACTCCTTGTTTGACCATGTTTGCTGCCAGTCTTGCCTCCTTGACACTCCCACCGTAGGTGCTGGACTGCTGCCTTAGCTGCTGAACCAGCTTCAGTGACAGCGACCGCCCTGTACCTTCATATCTGCAGACACATTTGTTTACAAACACATTTTACATGCCGAAACAAACACAGAAAATGTTTTAAACAGCAGTCTATATTAGAAATGTTGATTTAAGAATTGACATCACAGCACTCGGCGCACCCCCATAAGCGCTCCGACCCCATCTTCAGCAGCAAGTGAAGAGTTACAATTATCTTGATACCAATAACTGTCTGACTGTATATTCGTCTCGCCTTTTCCCTGAGTGTCAGGCGTCGGCCAGATCCCCTTGTAACTCCTCGCAGTGCCATTCTCCTCAGACCCTAATGATCTATTTGTTCCCCTGAACTGTTCTCTTGCTCCCAAAGGACCCTCACAACATACAGCCTGTCATACATCAGTTCACCACCAAGTGGTGCAGAACCAGCCAGTCTATCTGCCAGCTCATTTCCCAACATGTCTATTAAAAATGAAACGAATGAATCAAGAACCAACATCCCTACACTTGGGATATTACCACAAATGCTCTATCTTCCTCCTCAGTAGCCATCAAAGAGTCAACATGATAACATTAGTTACCGGTATGGGTTCTGGGGTCCCATTGTTGGGAAAACAACAACAGACCCACTGCCTACCCAACATAGCATGTCGTAGGAGTCGACCAATTGAGGACTTCTTTAGAAGTCGGAGTGTGTCTGCCCAAGCAACAAGAAACAAATAACTGCACACAAAAAGCCACTAAAAACAGATGTGCACATCTGTTAACTCAGGCCCTGGCACAAAGCCAAATTCTAAAAAAATAAACAACCATGACTTTTCACCAGAGTTTACAGCAGGTGAACAAAGAAGAAAAAGGAAGCTAATAGTAGTAGTACCAGCTGAAATCTAATGTAAAGTCCAACTATGTTTTGCACCCCCCCCCCCCCCCCCCCCCCCCCCCCCTTCCCCTTTTTTGAATTAGCACTTATCAGTGTACGGATTTCCTGTCTTTTCTACAGTACTGTTCATTTGATCCCTCTGAAAAATGTTTCATTAAGAGCAAAATTTTAGAACACAGTTAACTCTAAATCTGTCTTGCAATGCCAAAAAACAAAGACAACAAAACCTCTGCATACCATGTCAACAAATTACTAATACCGACTCAGCATACATGCTGCATTGACAGTGTGTTCAACTGGGTGTGAGCTGCATTAAAAATGGCAGGTGGCCAGTTAGGTCTGGACTGGCATTTACACTAAAATAGTATTGAGTGTGCAAATGCCAGCTTGTCATGACTGCCTGCTTCTATAAAAAATGATATTATTCTTGTGGTGGACTGTTAGCATTGGTACATCTTGCAACTGCCAAAACATGCATGCTTTCAGAAAGTGGAAATTTCTAGGTTTTGCTTGTGCTGACCTGTTGTTTATTTTAAGAGTTTTTAAATGGAACTGTGAAAGGCATTCTTTGTGACTTCACTATCACAGGAACAAAGAATTATGGGGAAACTAGATTCCACAAAAAGTCCTGGGAAATGTAGGCAGCCACTGTAACACTGACAACATCATTCTTTGAGCACTAATTAGTCTATTCAAATATATGGCTAGCACATCACATTCGAACAGGTCAAATAGATGAGACAACCTGATAAGAGCATACATAAAATGTCTTTTCATGTGAACCCACAAGGCAAAAGTGATAAAGGTAGAGATGCAGATAAATAAGGAAGACATTTAGAGACAAATGAACAAGGAGAAAACATGGAAAGGAAGCTGATAGTGATGGCAACAGGTAAGAAAATATCATGAATTGTTTGCCGGCTTTTTCTTAATTTATAAATAAAGGGCGGGGGTGTTGAAAAAAGGAAAGGTCTCTTTTTTACGCCTTTAGGCGTATAAGGCATATAGGGCTAGACCTATATTTTTAAAGACCAATCGGCACAAGATGGGTGATGTGGTCAGCATCACGCCGGCCGCCTCTACTTTCCTGGATTACCCCCAGTACCCACTCAAGGCTGTGTCAACCTGGGAGTCAAGGTCATTTTTTTTTAATTCCGGCTCTGCCGGGGAGCGAATCCACGACCTTCTGATCCACACACGAGCATCTAGCCGCTACGTCACCATGACTCGCTCAGAAGAAGAAAGCACACAATTAATTATGCTTACTGAGTTCATACAAATTAATATATAAAAATTAAATATTAAAAATTAAAAGGATATCTCCAAATTACTGCCTCATTATTTTAAGGACACAAAAATGTGCTAATTTATAACTGCCAAACACTGTTTTTTGGGTGTGGTTTTTTAAAGTCAATTTTCCTTGATACTGAGAACTTTTAAAATGTCAGTATTTCTTCTCTTCTATGTTCTTGGTATTCTGAGAATCTTTCTATAGCATTTCAGCTCAAAAGCCCATATTTTCTTTCTTAAGGACTGGGAGACAGTCCACAACTCACATCTGTATGTTGATACAAGGAAGATGCATGCTCTCAAAACTTTAATTTTGATTTCCTAGCTGGTGTTTAACCATAGACTTTTAATGCTCTTTGATATCTTCTGAAATACTTCACAATTTTACTCACCCGGCAGACAAAGCTTAAAGTAAACAGGGCAGTTGTATTAACTACACTGCTGTACGCACGCGAAACATGGACTGTATACCACCGCCAGGCTAGAAAGTTAAACCACTTTCACACAGTCTGCCTTAGAAAACTAATGCAGATCAGATGGCAAGACAAAGCACCTGATACCGTAGTCCTTGAGAAAGCAGCCATGCCCAGCATCCATACTCTACTGATGCAGTATCAAATTCGCTGAGCTGGTCATGTGGCACGCATGCCAGATCACAGGCTCCCAAAAAAAAATTTTCTATGGTGAGCTGCAAAATGAGAAAGGTTCCCAAGGCGAGCAAAAGGAATGCTTTAAGGACACCTTGAAGCCTTCATTCAAAGTATTTGGGATGAATGACACCAATTGGGAGGCTGCCTGTCAAGACCGAAATGCATGGCGTGCAACTCTACACAAGGGCGCGGCTACATGTGAAGCAAACAGAACAGCAAGACTGATTAAATAAAGGATAGACAGAAAGGCGACTGCAGGAGATCCCCTCCCTGGCATTCATTTCCTGTCCTCACTGTCCAAGAACTTTTCGGGCCCGCATCAGCCTCATCAGTCATCTTCGTACTCATACTTGATGAAAAAGGAGTGCTCATCATCATCTTGACTGACACACACACTCACCCATTGACAGTTGAAGACATGAAGACAAGGTAGGGTCCCAGTAAATTCTTCACCAAGGGCAATGGGATCGCTGCAGCCTCATCAATACACACCAGCTCTGCTTGTCCCAGCTTGTGTGAGTCTGCTGGATGAATATACTGGACATGGAAGAAACATTTACAAATATTAACTACATTCAACAGCTGGCAGTCATCATAACATGGTAGTAGTCGTAACATGGCAGTCATTGTAACATGGTAGTAGTCGTAACATGGCAGTCATCGTAACATGGTAGTAGTCGTAACATGGCAGTAGTTGTAACATGGCAGTCATCGTAACATGGTAGTAGTCGTAACATAGTGGCTAGACACTTAGATTTGAAGAAAACAAAATGTGGGGCCATATCTGCAGAGCAGATTTGAAACAAACAAACAATGCAAAATTAGATAAAGCAGATCTGAAACACACCCATCCGTGAGTGGGTACCAGGTGCAGTCCTGTGAAGCAAAGGTGGCTGGTGTGGTGCTGACCACATCACCCACTAAGTGCTGATTGGTCTATAACATTTTAGGCCTAGCCCTTTATTCCCAATATGCCTAAAGGTGTGGAAAGGAGAAATGACCTTAAACAGTTAAGAAAGCTAGCATAACTAGTAGGAGTATCCCATGTTGGATAGGATGATGGGTAAGGACTGGGGAGAGACAGAGAACATACTGCCTCGTCTGCAGACATGAGTCTGACAGAAGAAGATGTTCTCCACTTTATGAAACAAAATGTGACCAGTCATGTGGACAAATATTTACATGTAAACCAAATGCTTGTTTCCTTCACAAAGATGGTGCACAAACTAAACACATCCTCACCTGTATAGTCTGTCTGTGATCTCTGAAGATGTTCACCCTGACCACAGCTTTGTTCAACTCTGGGTTTGTTGACTGGATGATCTCGTAATCAATGTGCTCCTGCAAGTGTTCGGTCAGACATCATTAACATGTTCATCTCTCGGTCACTGTGTGTTCTATCTAGCTACCATTCAAGCGACCATGTATCCACCTATCATCATCATCACTGTCCTGTTGGGCCATTATGTGTCACATAGGGCTCAAGTCTATTCCTCCATTCCGTTCTATCCTGCGCAATCTTTTCAATATCATGGACAGGGTCCAGTCTAACACCTTTGGCTTCTCTCATCAACATTCGTTTTACAGTTTCTTTTGAGCATCCACGTTTCCTTAATCCATTTACTTCCCATTAGAGTGCCTGTTTGCTGATTCTCTGCTAGTTTTGTTTCCGGATGTGTCCAATGTAGCGCCATCTTCTGTTTTATAACTGTTGTTATCAGTGCTTGCCCAAAAATTTCTCTTATTTATTCAACGAATTCAAATTCATCCCATTTTATGTTCAACGTTTTCCCCAGGCATTTGTTTTTGTCACAAACCTACCCATTTATTCATTAATTTGACTTTGTATAGAGCTATCACCTAAGCAAACAGTTCACAGTCAACTAATTTACATTTGTATCTAGTAACTATTGAAACCTACTGCTGGCTGTGTAGATTTTTATCATGGTATGAGGCGTTGCAGGCCGACCCAGCCTAAAATGGGTACAAGGATGGCTGTTCTGGGAAAGTAAAGATGGCCAGCATAATGCTGACCACATTACCCACCTAGTGGCGATGGTCTGTAAGAATATGGGCGCGCTTCCCATATGCCTGATACGCCTAAATGTGTAAAATGGGATCTTTACTTTACTTATCTAGTAACTACTAATGTAATTGACTGTCTTTTTACTATCCTACCTAAGCATCTAATAGTTTACCCATCTTTTTCCCCCCTCATTGAAGCTTAGGCACTCAACCTTTTATCCCTCATTGGAGCTTAGGCACTCATCCTTTTATCCATCATTGGAGCTAAGGCACTCAACCTTTTTATCCCTCATTGGAGCTTAGGCACTGAACCTTTTTATCCCTCATTGGAGCATAGGCACTGAACCTTTTATCCCTCATTGGAGCATAGGCACTCAACCTTTTATCCCTCATTGGAGCTTAGGCACTCAACCTTTTATTCCTCATTGAAGCTTAGGCACTCAACCTTTTATTCCTCATTGGAGCTAAGGCACTCAACCTTTTATCCCTCATTGGGGCATAGACACTCAACCTTTTATCCCTCATTGGAGCATAGGCACTCAACCTTTTATTCCTCATTGGAGCATAGACACTCAACCTTTTATCCCTCATTGGAGCATAGGCACTCAACCTTTTATCCCTCATTGGAGCTTAGGCACTCAACCTTTTATTCCTCCATGAAGCTTAGGCACTCAACCTTTTATTCCTCATTGGAGCTAAGGCACTCAACCTTTTATTTCTCATTGGAGCTAAGGCACTCAACCTTTTATTCCTCATTGGAGCATAGACACTCAACCTTTTATCCCTCATTGGGGCATAGACACTCAACCTTTTATTCCTCATTGGAGCATAGACACTCAACCTTTTATCCCTCATTGGAGCATAGGCACTCAACCTTTTATCCCTCACTGGAGCTTAGGCACTCAACCTTTTATTCCTCCATGAAGCTTAGGCACTCAACCTTTTATTCCTCATTGGAGCTAAGGCACTCAACCTTTTATTCCTCATTGGGGCATAGACACTCAACCTTTTATCCCTCATTGGGGCATAGACACTCAACCTTTTATTCCTCATTGGAGCTAAGGCACTCAACCTTTTATTCCTCATTGGGGCATAGACACTCAACCTTTTATTCCTCATTGGGGCATAGACACTCAACCTTTTATCCCTCATTGGAGCATAGACACTCAACCTTTTATCCCTCATTGGAGCATAGGCACAACCTTTTATCCCTCATTGGAGTTTAGGCTTCCAACCTTTTATCCCTGACTGAAGCTTAGGCGCTCAACCTTTTATCCCTCATTGAAGCTTAGGTACTCAACCTTTTATTCCTCATTGGAGCTGAGGCACTCAACCAAGTCACATACCATTCTATTCGCCTCTGCAGGCCCCTCAATGTCTAATACACATTATTCATATAGTCTCTGTCTTCGAATAATTTTGACTCTCCCCACACTTCAGCTGCCCTATGTATTACAGTATTAGCATGGCTTCTCAGTGTGCTCCTTCTGACAGCAATTGGCTTTCCCTGATCTCTTGATTAGTTCAAATTTGTTAATTTCTCTTCATGAGCTCTGCATTAGTGGTTCTAACCTATCAGTGTATTTGTTCTAGTCCGCTCAGCTACCATGTAATCAATGTTAGTAGTATACTAGAAGTTTTAGTTCTTCACCATCTTTCTGTAAGCTTAGTAACAGATTCAATTTGCTTTGGTTTCCTAAAGTTTGTAAGTTCTATGAAACTGCTCTTGCATTTTGTATTTACTTATCTGTCAGTGCTTTAGTCTACCTGTGCATCCCCTAATTAACCTTTTCCTTTACCTATCTATCTGCATCCAAGGGGAGATGACATGACAGAAACAAACTACCACTGTAAAGTAGCATCCCTATACCTATACAAACTCTATACTTATACAATCCCTATACCTTTAGAATCTCTATACCTATACAATCCCTAACAAAGACAGAACACAACTCAATAATTACTTGATAATCAAGAGCATCAAAGCCTTTGAATATAAACTCAAACAGGGTTTTCAAATTCTCAGGACTAGGGGCTGTCACAAAAATGTTTGAGTATCTGGAGAAAAAAAAAGATTTAAGAAAATGTAAGTACCAACCATATAACAGTTACCTATGGTAAAACATGAGGGAGTTTATCTGTTGTGAGACCTGTGTGTTTGTTTATCCAATTTTTACTACAGAAAACAAGGCACCGAGATGCTGCTACTACTATGCTCATTGCATCTGCTGCAAATGCAATGCAGAATTATAGAAGTCTCGCCTAGGGAATAGGAAAAGAGATGTTTAAATGAAGGCAAAATAAACTGAACAATTCATATTTTGGGAACCAGTGAACAATGTGCAGGCATAAATAGATTAATATGTTTTGGAGAGAATGGTACAGCTCGACGTGACCATGGAATAATTAATTCCTCATATAAATTGACAGCTAATAAAGCAATAATTCATCTAAAAAAAAACAAATTTTAACACACAAACACAGACCACAAGATGTTCATTTTAATAATTTATAGTTACTTGAGGTTAGAAAAAGTAACCTCCAGTAACTCTATATGGTTATACTGGAGGTTAGAACACAAAAAACCTCCAGTAACTCTATGTAGATATATACCAGAGGTTAGAAAAATAATCCTCAAGGGCTATATAAATTCAGTTTAACACATTGCTGTCAATCCTGGAAAATTAATATACAACCCAAACAATTTCTCAAGACCATAGAAATGTGATTCTATAGAAGAATTCTTAGCATTCCTTGGACAGCCAAAAAAAGAGCAACCTATGTGTTTTAAAAGAGGTGAGGGCTAGAGGACAAAGTATCACAACCATCAGAAAGAGACAGTCATCATTTTTATTTTATTTTATAAGAAGAAGGAGGGAGTCCCCGTGGCAGAGCGGCTAGGCGTTTGTTCAGACCGGAAGGTCGCAGGTTCGCTCCCTGGAGAAGCCAGAGTTTTTTTTTTTAAATAACCTTGGCTCCTAGGCCGACCCAGCCTTGGGTGGGTACCTGGTGCAGTTCCGGGGAGTAAAGGTGGCTGGCGTGGTGCTGTCTTGTGCCGATTGGTCTATAAAAATATAGGTCTAACCCTATATGCCCTATACGCCTAAAGGTCTGAAAAAGGGTCTTTTACTGTACTTAAAAGAAGAAGGAAATTGGAATATGGCGACCACTGGAAAGATCTGTAGAAAAATAGAGACAAGATGACAATGCGACTAGATTCTTGACAGTCTTCTGTTATGGATAGAGAGGTATCAGCATATGAAACAATACATGCTGTTGAAGATTAAAAAATTTAAAGAAGCCAAGGCACTTGATGATGATATAGAATTGTTTAATAAAATAATTAATTGATAAACAAAGGACGCTTCTCATGCCACTGAAGCATAGGGGATAAGGTGCTAGACCAGAGGTTCTCAACCTGTGGGTTATGACCGCTTTGGTTGTTGAAAGACTATTTCACAAGGGTGGTCGCCTAAGACCATCGGAAAACATATAATCACTGAAATTTCAAAGTAGCAACAAAAACAGTTTCATGGCTGGGGGGGGGGGGGGGGGGGGGGGGAGGGTCACAACATGCTGAACCGTATTAAAGGGCTGCAACATTTGGAAGGCTGACAACCACCGTGCTAGACACTTTAAAAAAAAATAATAGATCAAGCAACATTTGACATACATGTGTGGTAAAAATCCTGCCAGTAAACAACAACACAAGTACAACCACAGAAAACAACCACAACACAAGCACAACCACAGAAGTAACCACTTACCCAAATCCAACAGCAGCAGACATAGCCAAGCCAATAGCAGCTGACTTGCCTCTACCTCTGGCTGCTGTCATGACCACTGTACTGCGCAAAGTTTTTTCCACTATAGCATCCACAAACTTAAGGAATCCATGAGCCTGAAATGTGTGATCGAAATAATAGGAATAAATAACTCAACTGAAGGGACACTTAAAGATGAGAAAATTGTGTTTTTATAGTGATATTATTTATTCTGAGCTAAGCAAGAACATTCATCATACAGTAATTGTTGTTTGCGTTCGCCGGTTGTAAACCCCAGTGGAAAGATCTGGTTGTCAGCTAATTTCTAGACTTTCCCCCAATGTAATGCGTCTCCTCTGCACTTAATCTCCCTTGTGCAGATTCAACACCAGCTGTGTTGTCTAGGTGTTATGTCAGTTTATTCCAGCCAAACTTCTCTTTTCCCAACTGTCACACATCTCTAAATGACAGTCGACAAATGTTGACAGGAATTCTGGGTTTTTATCAATACAACACAAGCCGCAAGAATCAACAGTAGAACTAATAACTTACGCCATTCAGGCAAGCTCGCCCTGCTCATGCTCTAATTTTCCAGCCATGCTTTAGACGATGGACACTGGCATAGCCAACAGGCTGTAGAACACAACTGCTGTCCTGAACAGTGCTTTATTAATATCCTACCCCAAACAGGGAAAATCTACAGATCACAGGACAGTCTAATATTTCAGGGGATGGAAGATAGGCTGCATGCAGTTGTGGGACCTAGGCTGCACTCTCTCGAGGAATGTAGGTGGGTTGGGGTTAGGGTCAGTTCTATATGTTTTGGGGTCGTTAAAAGCATCAAAAAGCCGGGAAACCCAGTCTTACCACCCTCTAAAATGTTGGATTGTTCTGTGACGTCATCTGGGGTAGAATATTAATAAAGCACCTCATAAACAGTAATTCAACACTGCTTCGCTCCTTGTCAAGGACTAAAGCTCATTCAGTTCTCATCCAGATCTACATTCATACTTATCACTCTGAATTCAGTTTCACTTTCTTTCAATCTGGGGTCCAGTCACAGAATGACCACCTCATTCTCAATCCCCCAGATCTGGCATTCACACGTGACTTGGTCAATTCTGTCTTTTCACCACCTCCCTGCGAAACCAATGCTTCTCATACTAGGGACTTTCCCAGTTCTGTCAATCAGCCATTTCCCTATGACTCATGATTCTTAAACTAGGGACTTTCCTAATTCTGTTACTCAGTCATAACCTGACATTATCCCTATTTATAGCATTATTACAAAGAAGTAGGGGTGATCCAGGAGAAAAGATCATCAAAACTGAAATCAGTATGAAAGAGTCTACTGTCAGAAAATGTTGCAGCCAGCTGTTAGTATTTGACAAACCTGGTCCAAAGTTCGGCACAACTTGATAATTTTGCCGGTTGTTACATCCATATCCTGAACTGATGATTTCAGCTCCTCCAGCTCCACTTCCTGGGCCGACAATGTTTTGTCCTAATAAAAAAAAAAACATTAAAACAAAAGTAGTCAACTTTAATAATCAACAATAAATTACACACAATCAACAAAAGCTAAAAACAAGAATTCTAAATTATAATGAATATTATTAACCAAAGGTAGAATACATAAGTGCAGATCAATCTTAAGGCAAAACCTTGTATTACAATATTTTTTCCAGAATATAGATTTGTTGTTTATTATTTTCAAGTAATTATAATTTACATTCCATGATCCGAAATGTATTTTACAATGATCTGTCATGTATAAGTTCAGCAATCAACACTGTATGGCTTTTATATCCAATATTTTTGGCATCAGTTCCAGGATAGAAACTTCTAACTGCATCTCCTTGTGGCAGATGGCAGATAATTTTGTAAGTGTACAACAAATCAATAGGGCACTCATCTCATCATGATCCTCTTGTAACTAGCGGTTTTAAAGTGAAGTACAGTTTACGGGAAAGAGCTTCATAAATTAGGATTCCCACAGACTCTATAATTCCCTCTATCGCTTGCATGAATGACTTCTTCACTTCTCACCTGGTCTATACATCATTGCCCACTGTTTTAAAATGTTTGCTGACATCTGCATTACATGGCCAAACCATTTCATCTGTTGTCTTCTAATGAAATATAGAGCTGCTGCTACCCGCATTTTCCTTCAGATTTCACAATTTCTTCTTGCTATACTAAGCGCTCTGTGCGAGGATCTCACTTCAGTTGTACGTTTTCTTTTCTCTTTTTTCTGTCATTGTCCATGTCGGGCATTGATAACACAGAGTTGGCAAGAAGACTGTGTCAGAGTTTAGGGACTGAGCAAGTTAAGATAGCCCACTGTGTCACAGAGTTCAGGGACTGAGCACGTGTAGATGGCCCACTGTGTCTCAGAGTTCAGGGACTGAGCAAGCGTAGATGGCCCATTTAAAACCCGAAGCACATCCAGCATGTGATACTAGACTTATATGGTTATAGACCAATCAGTACTCGATGCATGATATGTTCAACCATCTTTACCTCCCAGGACATTTTCAGGTATCCTTGTTAGGCTGGGTTGACCTGGTAGTCGGGCATCTAGCCACTCACTACCATGGCTTCCAGGTTTTGAATATCCAGCAAAATAACTGCAACACATGTGCCTCCCTGTGTAGGTTCCAGGCCCCTATTGAAGGAATCACCAGAACAGACCCACTGCCTTTCCAACAAGCATGTCGTAAGAGTCGACTTACTGGGGCTTCCTTCGAAGTCAGAGTGCATCTGCATGAGAGGCAAGGAAACATCAATCCACATACATATAAGTCAGATCTGTAAAACAGATGTGCACGCAACACTTAGGTTTTACAACGAGACTAAAGTCTAGAGGTGGACAAACAACCAGAACTCTATGCAGGAGTTCACAGCCTGTGAATGTAAAGAAGAATAATTGAGCTGAACACTTGTCCTGTTGACTGGAAACTGCTGAAACCACAGAGGTCATAAGACACCCACATGGGTGTGATTTCCCATGGATCCAGTCGCTGAGGTGTAATGCTGAGCTTTCACATATTTTATAAGTTGAAGTGAAAAATGACACTGAGTCAACTGAAAGATGCACTGGTCAGAAAAAGAAAAAAAAACAATCTTGCTCCTGTGCCCTGTCCCAGAAGGCAGACGCAGTAACCTTTTTCCAGCACAAAGCCTCAAGCTGGAGAGAAGGTCACAAATCTGATGGGGAGAGACAATTCGTATTCACCAACGTAAAACCAGTTTTTACAGATAGTAGCTCTGCATGGTCAGTGTCTGTGGCGTAGGTGTTGCGAACACGCTTGGTAATGCCGGGTTCAATCCCAGCTGTGGACAGTTTGTCTAGCTTTGGTTTCGACAGTGCTACCAACAGCTGACTGTCCAGAAAGCAATGGCAAACTACTGAACGTAAAATTTGCCTAGAAAAACCACAACAGCCAACAGATGTTTTGGTTGGTTCTGCTAGTCCTGCAAAGGGTACGCAACTTAACTCTGCATGACAACGTTACGTTAAATTATAACGACAAACACTCTGTGACATTATAACGACAAACACACTGTGGCATTATTACAACATACACACCAATGACTTGGCGAGTACGGGCTCAAGCGTGAGTGCATGAGTAGAGATTGGGATCAGGTGCAGTTTGTCATCTACAACAACACAGCTCTCACATGACGTCAGAGAAAGCAGAAACCTAAGACAGAATTAACATAAGTATTTAACAATTAGGAAAAATTTTGTAAATTACGTTCTTAAAGGAGCTGCAGTAAGCTTTTCTGAACAAACTTTTCTGAATTTAGGTGTTTCTAGTTGTGAACATGTAAACAATAAAGGATTTTACAGTAAAAATTTTGTTAAAATGAATTATCTTCAAGTTCCAGTCTCCAAACAAATGAGCTTACCACTGCACACAAACTAACTGTGGCAATCTGAGGTTTACTGGAAAATCTGTTCATTGTTTTTGTCTTGTCTTGCAACTGATCAAATAAATTGTGTTCAGTTAATCAATCACTTCAGTTTTAAGCAACCTGTAGCTGCTGTGGTGTAGCAGCTTGATGCTCGACCGTGGATCAGAAAGTTGTGGGTTCAGGTCCTGGCGGAGTAGCTACCCGGTGCAGTCCTGGAAAGTAAACATAATCTTGACCCCATTACCCACCAAGGGCTGACTGGTCTATAAAATATAGGTCTAGCCCTATATGCCCAATACACCTCAAGGTGTGGAAAAGGGTCCTTTACTTTACCGTTTTACTTAAATTTTCAAAGCTGTTATTTGTCACTTTACAATATCTATAAGGCATATTTGTGAATTCCTACTCAAAATTGGTCAAGATTACGTATTACTTTTCGTGTAAATGTACAATATTTGTGTGTGTCATTTTTCAATGTGTAAATTTCTACTTCAAACTGGGTCAAGACTAGGTATTATTTTTCATGCAAATGTACAGAAAATGTGGAGAAAAGTGATGACAGGTATGCTCCAAGCAGAGTGGCAAACATCTTATCGGATACCTCGGTTAGTTTGCGTTCTTTGGATATTTCCCCCAGGAATGCTGGTGTCTTAGGGAATGAATAGGCAGATAGGCTGGTTCTGCACCATTTGGTGGTAGATTTACACAGAGTTGAGTTTAGAATTGAGATCACAGCAATCAGGGCATTCTTAAGTGTGGCCAGTCCTCATCTTCAGCAGCCAGCACAGAGTACAGCACTGATGGTACAGGTCAAAATCTGGTTATATGTCCATCTTGCCTTTCCTCTGAGTGTAGTGAGCCAGCCAGACCCCCTTGGTTACACCCAGGTGTTTCATTCTCTCCAGGCCATAATAATCTTCCACCTCTACTGATTCCGTTGCTTGTTCCCAAAGGGCCTTGACAAGATTTACGCATGACAAACTAGATGTTGTAAGGGCCCATGGGAAGGGGGTGAGCGAACAGTGGAGGCACAAAAAGATCATCATGGTCTGAAGAGGATGGTACAGCAAGGAGTGATCAGGGATTCTGATCTTTGAAAATATTTGACGTGTTACTTTTCTTAATGGTTATTTTCTTGCTAGGGCAGTAGTTCTCAACCCTCCTAATGCCGCAACCCTTTAAAACAGTTCCCCGTGCTGTTGTGACCTCCCAATCATAAAAATTATTTTCAATGCTACATTAAAACTTCAGTGAATATGTGTTTTCCGATGGTCTTAGGAGACTCCCTGTGAAAGGGTCGTTCAACGCCAAAAAGGGTCATGAACCACAGGCTGAGAACCGCTGCTCTAAGATGTTCACTACAAAACATGTTAGGTCAGAAAACACTAAGACATTAGTGAAGCACAGAACCAGATCAAAGATGTTTTAGCAATATAACGGGGACACATACTGCAATCCCACAGTTCAGATGGTGTGAGTCATATAAATATTAATTTCAACAAACAATTAGATCTCAGGCAATATTTACCTTTCATTAAAGCGACCTACGATATCCTGATGAGCTTCAGTACGGAATCTCGAGTGAACATCCTACATTGAAAAACAAAAAAAGTTTTTTAAAAGCAGTTTCATTTAATATTAAAAAAAGGTTTACTTGAACAAAATCACAAAAAAAAAAAAAAAAAAAAAATACAAGCAATTATCTGAAGCACATTTCTTTCGGCCAAACCATTTTTAATTAGTACCTCTTCTTTCTGCATCTGACATTAAAAAAGGTAGTTAGGGGTAACTGTATTGTGGTTTACAGCTAGCCTGCTTAAAAATGTGCGTCTTTCAAGTTAACACATCTGATTTGAGAAAGCCATTAATTATTCGCTTTTCTGGCATGCTTCTGAAAGGGCAGTTGAATAATTCTTTTTACAACCACAAAATTGGACCCAGGCATCTACATATGAAAAGCAAATCATTTGAATATTATTCAAATTTAATTTCTGTTAAAATATTATTAGATCTGTTTTTTAAAACAACAAAATATCTGTAAATTCTAATAAAAAGGTGTTTCATATCGCTGTCATTATATTGCAAACCACCCCCATCATCTGTATTGAGATTTTACTGGGTACTTTTATGTTCGGCAGTTTGCCATTGCCTCTGAAAAGTTTTAATGCCAATACTGTTATTTTCGACACAAAGTGATCTTCTGTCTGAGTGTTGCCTGCACATCCATTATACAGATCTGACTTATCTGAGTGTTGCCTGCACATCCATTATACAGATCTGACTTATCTGAGTGTTGCCTGCACATCCATTATACAGATCTGACTTATCTGAATGCAGATTGTGGATTTCTTGCCTCTCATGCAGATGCACTCCGAATGTGAAAGAAGCTTTTTTGGGAAGGCAGTGGGTTTATTCTTGTTATCCTACAAGAGAGCTCCTGAACCCACACGGGGATGATAACAGATGAAAACCATTATTAAACATTCAAGTTAAATGTGGAACATGAGACTTTCAAATGGAAGATCTAGCTGAAATAAGAAACATCAGCACAAACTATATAAGGTTAGTTGCGTATCCTTTACAGGATGTTGCAGAACCCACCCCAACAGTCACTGGCTGTTGTGTGGTTTTTCTAGGAAATTTTACATACAGTAGTTTGCCATTGCTTTTTGGACGGTCGGCTTTCTTGATACCACAGTCGAAACCAACGCAAGGCGCATGGCCCGCAGCTGGGATCGAACCCGGCATCCCGGCACGTTCGCATCGACCTAGCCACAGAGTTGACTTGCCCAAACTATACTATTCACACACAAAAAAGCAGTGGTCAGTTGTGTTTGATACCATATTTGTGAGCATAGCTCATAATGCGTGCACTAGAGAGCAACACAATTTGGGGTAAACACTACTCACTTCCTACGCAACTGAAACCCTATAAAAGGATAATGCTACATCAAAACACTCAGTTCATTTTCAAGCAGTCACGATTGGCGCTTCTATCGATAAATTTAAGGAATCTTGCTATTGGCTGAGTGTAGACAGGAGAAAGTCAAAGTCAGGTTGCCAGGCAGTTAAACATGCATCAGAGTACCAGCAGTCAACTTTGGTGCCAGTTCCAAGCCTCTGGTTCAGTTGAAGACCCGACATCGCAGTGGGCGATAACATCAGCAAAGAATCACTTTATCCGCCTGTCACCCCAGAGACTGTTTTACAACAGCTTCCTTAGCTGCACAGGCTTTGCCCCCAGGACGTCATGTGTCTGATCAAACAGATCGGAAGAGACTACATGACGTTGGACTTTAGGCTTGATGACCACACCGAGGACCTGTCCTTACGTGTTGCCACCGCCAAAATAAACTTCTACTGGCAACCAACATCATCCCTGGGCAGGTGACAATCAATGGAGACATGTCTGATCAGTGACAATTCTTTCTTTTTGTTGTAGTGTCATGGTAGACGGAGTAGGGTTTACCGTAGGTGAAATTAAGGTTTAGCCCAAAATTGTGTTGATGAAGCTCGATTGCACGGTGGTGGAGATGCAATGGTGTGGAATATGATCAGTTACAACAAAAGGAGTCAATTGGTCATGACCTGTTCCACCTGGAATAAGGTTGCTACGTCTGCCTGCTGGGACAGGATACCAGGAGCAAGATTGTGGTTTTTTTTCTGACCATTGCATCTTTCAGTTAACCCAGTGTCATTTTTTACTTTTTGGCTCAAGTATTCTTCTTTACATTCACAGGCTGTGAACTCCTGCATAGAGTTCTGGTTGTTTGTTGTGATGAAATGACCTCAGTGGTCTCAGAAGTTATATTGTGTTTAATAATTTCTTATGTTCAGAGAAGGACAAAGAATTAAAAGCAATAGACACTGAGCCTAAAATAGTTCTAAAACCACTACAAGGGATTTGAGAATTGTTTAAACTGTGTTTTCCCGTCTTAGCCAGACAAAGCAACCTTGCTGTGTGTAATGTTACCTAATACTACTGTAGTTAGAGATTTCACCTGCCCATGTCATATAATTATCTCCTGCCCAGTCTGTAGAGGCAAGTATAGGGGGAGATAACTTCGTATCACACCTGAAGATTAGCTCCCCTGAATCCAACCGTAGGGGCATAAAAGTTACATAACACAGACTGAGGGGCTCCTTTTGAACAGGATAGATCAGGGGAATTAAGTGGTCAGGTAGACATTTCTAGACAGGCCGGCGTCCAGCATCTGAAAGTTTCACACATGATAGTGAAATTCTCAAGAGAACAGATGTTTGGCAATTAGGAATGTTTAATCTTGGTCAAGGTCGTACTGTAGGCCGTTCACTGTGAGTGACAGGCCCATTGATAGCTAGGTTGATCTGCTACGTACCTCAGAGGCGGGGCTTAAGTCATCTCCTTGAGGGTTGGGTAGAACCTAGTAGAGGGTGGAGTTTACCCTTGCAGACAGATAGAGGTATTAATAAGACAAGCCCTGGAATTTCTGTCATAATCGCTGCGACAGGCAACAAACAGGTCGACCTTAGAGGTAATTCTAATGGTTTGATTCTAGTTTGGCGATGGCTGGAAGTTTCCAGGTAAGCATGTACAATTATTTTCAATCTTGTATACATAGGTTAGGGAGTTAGCTAAAATCTATTCTACCTTTTCCTAATTTGTCTACACATTCTGCTTGAAATAGTTCTTTGTGAGTATTCAGTATCTCAGTTAGGGAACTGCTAAACTATTTCTATTTCTTGTATGTTTGTGGCACATGTTTTTCAGTGTATGTTTTCATGTTTATAAAATAAGACTTGTGTAATGAAATGTAATGAAATTATAATGTTTCAACCATCAACCAAAACATGAGTTTGGACTGTGGGAAATGATGCTTACATATGCAGCCATGCTGTTACATTTTGTGTGCCCACCATGTGCTCACTTAATGTGTTCACCTAAACAGGGGATTTATAACCCAAGGGGAAGAATCATGGGTGTATAGTATACACTGTCACTGAAAGATAATAATCAGGACAGCATGCTCGTATAAAATGTTTGGCGTGTTCAGCACATAACCTGCGCCACATGTTTATGTCAAATCAATGTCAGCAAGTTGGAAGTCCGAATGATGACGGACAACAGAAAGTCAACTATCATGACAGAACCTTAGAGGGAAGGCAGGATATGTGAGACGTCGATTGTGAGACACAAAGACCTTCAGATTAGACTGGAGAGAAAGTGGAATATGAGGAGGAGTGATGAGATATAATGTTTTATTATATATTGTATTAATTGACACATGTATTCTTAGTGTAAGTCAAGATACTACAAGTATGTGTGTGTTTCCATTATTGCAGCTCCCATGTGGGTGAGGATCAGTCTTTTCTACAAAAAAGAAATAGAGGGTCATCACGGTCACGAGACTACATTGTGTTAGAACTCGGCCAGCTGGGAAACAGGTGGAAGGACCAGGAGAACTGGGCGGAAAGATTGGAACAGCTAAGAAGGGGCTCAACACGAGGACTCTCAGAGGTTCCACTTTCTAAAGTTATGTAACATGTATTTATGTAACTAAACACCACCATTATCATTTACTCTAATCTTAGTTGCTCAGTTATCAAGCTGAAGTATCCCATTACCACCATACCATCACTATTGACTAAAAATAGTATAAATCAAAATGATTGCTAGGTTAATAAATCAATTATATGGTCTTATCCTGCATCAGTTTTTGTAATTCCAAGTGTGTCTGCTCTTACATGTTTAATTAAACTGTTAAGATAGAATAGCATTTGGTGGGAGCTCATTAAATAATAAGAATAATTCTGTACCAAGAGAAGGTCGACGGATTGGGTCAACTGCCCTGTCTAGTAAATAATTCAAGATAATAATATATAGACATCTAAAACCCATTTCCTTCTCTTGTGGGTACCAAGTTCAGCTAAAGTTAATATAAATAACGAGCCAATATGGCTGTTTTCTTGGATATCCAGGACTTTGTCTGAGAGCAACATAGCCCAGATAATAGTTCAGTTAATCTGGTGGAGGGGATGTGTTGAGAGGAAAATCCCCACTCAACATATAAATCATTTAAACCCAAATCCAGAGAACCCACGACCCGGGACGTCACACTAAAAGTGTTGTACTTTCCAAGGGAGTGGGCCGTAACGTCACATTTGTCCACCTCTAGACTTTAGTCTTGTTGTAAAACCTAAGTGCTGCATGCACAAAAATGAGTTCATACAGGACATGTGATTGCTTCCATGCCCAGGAGATGCCACGTTACTGAGATGCGCAAGGAAGTTTCAAGGGATGCGTAAAGCAACTGTGACACTGAGTCCATCTGCACTTGTAATGTTCTGTCATACTTCTTCCTTTTCAGCACTCCGAGCCCTTGAGATTTATTGCTGCAGATATCACGCGCCTCCATTCATCTCTCTTGTTGGCCTTCTCTTTTCAGTTGGTGACACCAACTGTTTGCAGGTTTGTCTGGACATTATCTTCCTATCTGTCAGACTATTCAATTTAATTATAAATGAAACAAAATAATGTTAAACTATATATAAAACAAAAAGCCAAGGACACTGTTATTGAACACTATGTGGCTGATAAAACAAACAAAAATCAAGGACCCCATGTTATTGGACACCATGTGGATGTTTTTCACCAAGTTTCTGTTTACAGATTGTGTTTTGGGTTGTCCGTTTAATTACTATTTATTTAGCTGGAGGAAAAAAACAAGGACACTCCCTTCCCCCAAAGGAGGTGTCTTGCCATATATTCAAGGGCAGCACCAACCACCCAAAAAAGGTGAAAACTACTGATCTAGAGCGTGAAAGAAAATCAAACACAAACAGATCTTTACAAAAAACATATCTTCTACTCACCATGGTCATTGTAAACAACTGTTTCAGAGATGACATTGTACGAAGTAAAATCACCACAAGTCCACCTCCTTCGACAGTTTCAATTGTTCTGGCCAACAAATTTGGGGTCAAAGCCTCAAAGTCCTTGACAAAGATAAAAATGAAACAATCATTTGATCAGAAAACAAAGCTCCCCAACAAAGGTGGCCTGGCCTGCTGCCAAATCACTCGCAGCTGAGATGGAACCCAGCACCTCGGAATTACAGAGTGCGTTCACAATTCTCCAGGAATGCCGGTGTGTTGGTAAATGAGCAAGCAGATTGTCTAACCGGTTCTGCACCACTTGGTGGTGGATTGATGTATGACAGGCTAGATGTTGCAATGGCCCTTTGGGAGCCAGTGAACAGTGCAGAGGCACAAATAGATCATTAGGGTCTGAGGAGAATGGCACTGTGAAGAGTTACCAGGGGATCTGGCAGATGCTCAACACTCAAGGCAAAGGCGAGGTGGGTATACAATCAGACAGTTACTGGTGTCATCGTAACTGGAACTCTTTTCTTGCTGCTGAAGATGGAGACGGAGGACTTACAAGAGTGTCGCGAGTGCTATGATGTTGAATATTAATTCAAAACTTTATGAACTTTCATCCTCTTGATATGATGTGTGTTCCTCTCAAGAAACTCATATCAATTGTAATATTCCCTTTCTCTCTTGTCTGACATACAATCAGATTACTACTGATAATGTCTTTATTGGGACTCTGCACTGGCGAAGACAGGGAAGGAGTACTTATAGGAATATCCCAAGTGCTATTATGTCGCTTCTCAACTCAACTCTCTTTTTCTGACCTAGCTCAAGTCTGACACTGGTAGCAGAGAGTTGTTAAAAAGATATTACATTTTTTGGCAGCAAATTAATATATCTGTAATTTACAACTAAAAACTTATACTCTACAAAATAAAAAAACAATAGTTCTAAAATGGGAGTCAACGATGTGTAGCAGTTAAGACTCTGGTCTCCAGATCTGAAGGTCATGGGTTCAGGTCCTGACAGAGACAGATTTTTTTCAAAAAAATGACCTCGGCTCTGAGTGGGTACCAGTTAGAAGTCTTGGAAAGTAAAAGTGGCCAGCATGATGTGGCCAAGTGCCGAGTGGTCTATAAAATATTGGTCTAGCCCTATATGTCTAAATGCGTTAAAAGGGTCCTTTATTTTTACTACAATTATTAAATGATAAATCTAAATAATAAAAGTTACAAATGCCAGCAATACGATAAAAACAATAAAAAGTTTAAAATGCAATGGTTAATATTACACTACCAAAAAGAAACTAAAAATAATACAGTGACTGCTAATTGTCTAGCCATAGCATAAGGGGTTGAACCACTGCCTTCTCTTACAAAATTCTAAATATGAAACTCAGAATTATGTTCCAACACAAATGTCTACCATACCTGCAGCACACACATCCCATAGGTGTTGCCCAGAATTTTGTGTGTTTCAGCATAGTAGCAGTAACGGATGTTTGTGGATGAAATGAACAACTCAAATGGATCATCTTCTTTTGCACTCAGCTTCCCACTTTTGATTTTCTTCTGTAGTTCCTTCATCCTCTTTCGTGGATGACTGAGAAAAATGTTTTACAACTGCATTACTGGTCAACCAATATAGTATACATTTTAAAAGAATGATTATTAGTAGCTCAGAAACCAACACCATACTAACTGACACTAATAAGCTCGTCTTCCTTCTTTTTTCATCAGTGGTAGGCTCTGATGGAAAGTCCTGAATGTCTGTCAATTTGGACTCTGGCTTTGTGCCAAGATCTGAGTTTTGCATGTACATCCATTTTATTGGCTTATATGTGTGCAGTTGGTTGTTCCTTTCTGCTCAGGCAAATGCATTCTGACTTTTTTAAAGAAGCTTTCAATTAGTCCAACTCCTATGACATGCTTGTTGAGACGCAGTGGGTTTATTCTTGTTTTCCTCACAATGGCATCCTGGAACCCACATAGGAAACTCACAAGATAAAATGCAAGTGAAAACTATAAGGAACATGTGTGTGTTTGAGTGTGGGAGGGGGTTACCATTATCAGGTTCAAGAAATGAAGCAATAGGACCACCAGAGCCTAGAAGTGCTTTGTAAGAAAGAGACTACTACTTCTTAAGCAATCAATGTTTGCTATGCAACTATTCCATTACGGGTCACAACAGAATGGCACGCTTGAGGTTTTCACTCGTGCCGTATTCTTTGTCATTCGGGGTCGCAGTGGGCCAGATTTCCTTTATTTGACTGCCATAGTCTGGCAATCTGGAAAGACATGCTCAGGAGTTTAGCTTTGGCGGTTGTAACAGAAATCTAAGGAGAGTTGGTCTGGGGCAGACTACCTCATCTGGTAGAAATCCGCAACTGCAAATTTTACTGATCATTAACAAATTTGTACAAAAGGAATGCTTTGCATGAGATGGGTGACATAACAGGTTTCACGGGAGACAAAACGAATGTGAAAAAATTTATCTATTGAGATGAAAGAAAAGAGAAAAGGCCAAAGATACTTTTAAGACACGTTTAATTAACATTTTTCTCCATGACATTTTGGAACTATATTTTTTAGGTATTCAATTTAGGTGGCTTTGATAGAAGAATCCATTTCATCATGATGTCGTGAGCAGAACTTCTGGGGATTTATGTTCAACTGTTTCTGGAAGATGTGTACATAACTATCAATTTGGAGAATTGTGGCCGCAAACTGTTTTGGTGTATTTACAATAATTCTCTGCGCTCGTTAATATTTTAAAAAAAATTATTCAACAGAGAAGGACTTTTGCCCTATATGAAAAACTAATGTAAAAATGATAACAAAAAAAAAATAAAACGAAATTATTGTAGGCAAAAATCCTGAAACAATCTATACTCTGAGCACTGCTGTCAAATGGAATACAAGAACTTTTATATTTTATTTAAAACCTGGGGTTCTTCTTTCCTCTTTACATCCTCTTTTACCGCTTGGCATGTCGAGGGAAATATAAGGCCCTTCTCTGCACTCTTCTGACTGCTTCGACACAGACACATAATGGTGCTGTTGAGTTTCTCTAATGTTATCTTCCAATCTTGTTTTTTTGTCCACCTCTTGCTTTATGCCACTCTCCTCTTTTGGTATATGCCTTGTAGGGTATAGTATCAAGGCATTCACTCCAAGTGAGCAAACCATCTGATTTGCTGTCTCTGCATGTAATTTAGCATTGGTTCTGTGCCGACTTTATCTCCTATGACCTTGTTCCTGATTTTCTCTCTTGTGGTCACTCCTACAGTCTTTCTCAGACACCTCATTTCCACGGTTAATAATTGTCTTCTATGTTTTGTTGTGAGTGACCATGTCTGGCACTGATAGCATAGGAGTTAATGGACTGAATTAATATACTTGGATAAGAAAATAAGAATAAGAAAGGCTGCAACTGGCCAATATCCTGACAAAATTGTCCAAATTGGATAATCTACACACAACATAATATTTATATTACCTCCAAAGGGATGTGGATGCCCCCCCCCCCCAATATTTCATTAATGTCTCCGTTATTATATGACCCGGGGGGGGGGGGGGGGGGGGGGCGGGGGGGGGACAGTCTGCATAAAAAAAGCCAGATATGTAAAACAGATGTATATGCAAAGCTTAAGTCCTGGAACAAGATCATCAAAGTCCAGAAGTGGATGAACAACCTGATGGTCCTGCTGGAGTTGACAGCCCCTGAATGCTAGGAAGAATAAGACCTGAACCACCTGACATGTGACAGGTTACCTGGTAAAGCCCAACTCCTTTTTGTAGCACCACAAAACTGATGGCCTGGCTTTCAGCTCAGCTTTGCTCAGCATATGGTGAAGGATCACAACCTGGAGAGGAAATCAGTGTTCTACAATTCCAATGTATTCTACTGAATTAGTTTCAGGATAATTTTTGTTTCATCATCATCAAAAGATTTGCCGACTGGCACTGGCGATCATGCCTCTCAACAATCTGTGATCTTCAGTAGCATGTATCAGTTCATGTGCTGAAACCTTTCCATGTCATGATAAAAAGATGTCTGGAACTTCTCATGTTGTCTTTACCTGTCTCTTTTTCCACAGATCTTTCCAGTGATCACAAAATGTTCCAGCTTCCTTCTTCACATATGACACCACACAAAATATATGTATAAACCTTTTTTTATTACATATAAATCATGTATTATATGGAGCTTATACTATACTGTTATATGCATGTGAGTCTTAGATAACAAGCAGACAGGATGAGAAATATTTTACAACAGTGGAAATGTGATTTCTGAGGTAAAAACAAGAATATCATGAATGGACAAAGAAACCAAACAGGCAAGCCTCGACAGATCAAAACTGTAAATCAGACTAAACAGTAAAGATTTTCTGGACATGGTATTAGGAGAAATAAACTCAAAAACTTCGTGACAAAAAGTGTATATGATGGGAAAAGATAGGGAGTAGAGAGAAAAGGTAGCTCTGCACAATGAATAATCAAGACAAGAACTGAAGATTTATTGTAAGAAATGATCATTCGAGTGGCAGTCAGGACTAGGTGATCTGTTGAGTGGCAGTCAGGACTAGGTGATCTGTTGAGTGGCAGTCAGGACTGGGTGATCTGTTGAGTGGCAGCCAGGACTAGGTGATCTGTTGAGTGGCAGTCAGGACTAGGTGATCTGTTGAGTGGCAGTCAGGACTAGGTGATCTGTTGAGTGGCAGCCAGGACTGGGTGATCTGTTGAGTGGCAGCCAGGACTAGGTGATCTGTTGAGTGGCAGCCAGGACTAGGTGATCTGTTGAGTGGCAGTCAGGACTAGGTGATCTGTTGAGTGGCAGTCAGGACTAGGTGATCTGTTGAGTGGCAGCCAGGACTGGGTGATCTGTTGAGTGGCAGCCAGGACTAGGTGATCTGTTGAGTGGCAGTCAGGACTAGGTGATCTGTTGAGTGACAGTCAGGACTAGGTGATCTGTCAAGTGACAGTCAGGAATAGGTGATCTGTTGAGTGGCTAATCTTGACTTCTGCTCTTAAGCTGTGTCCTTTACAGGCTGTTGCAGAACCACCCCAGCACTTTCTGGCTGTTTGATTTTTTTAGGCAACTTTACATTGTGTAGTTTGCCGTTGATTTCTGAGTGGTCAATGGTCCACACCACTGTCAAAATCAAAGCAAAGTGGTCTGCTTCCAAATTTCCTACCACTGGAATCAAACCTGGTACTTCGGGAATACAAATCACAACCCGTATCACAAATGCTGGCTGCACATATTTAATGGCACCGCACATGATGCTGCCATTATCTTAAATTAATCTTTTGTGAGTAAATTTACGTAATGTTACATAAACCCGCCCCGCTAGGCTTTCAGGGCTCCATTGTAGAGAACAAAGAATAAATTCACTGCCCCTCTAAAAGCACGTCATAGGAGGTGATTAATTATGGTTGTTTTTTTTTTTTTCAAAGTAAAAGTGCATCTGCATGACAGGCAGGCAACCAACAGTCTGCATTAAAAAAATGCCAGATCTGTAAAATGAATGTGCATGCAAAATTCAAGATCTAGAATGAAACCACAGTCCAGAAGTGGACAAACAAACAGAACTTTCTACTAGAGTTTACAGCCGGTGAATGCTAAGAAAAAGTAAGCTATATTATGTAATTTAATATAAATAACTTTCAGCTCTGTGGCTAAGTCGATGCGAACGCTTCCTAATGCCGGGTTCGATCCCAGCTGCGTGCCATGCGCCTTGCATTGGTTTTGACAGTGGTATCAAGAAAGCCGACCATCAAGAAAGCAATGGCAAACTACTAGACGTTAATTTGTCTAGAAAAACCACACAACAGCTAGGGGCTGTTGGGGTTGGTTCTGCAACGTCCTGTAAAGGATACGCAACTAACCTGCTAATATAAATAACTCAACTGTAGTTTTTTCCATGTCCCCTACTCTGCAGACATTTACAAACTTATATTTTGGAAAGGACAAGTGACTCACCTGGTCCTTCCCTTGGTCTCCAACAATAACAAACATGGATCGATGCCTTGTTGCCACTCCATTCTCTATCATAACACGGATACGACTGTCAATCTTCTTTCTGACCATTTTTTATTGAGAACTTAACTCATGAACTGAAGAAATAGTCAATGTAGAAATATTCTGTAAAGAAAAAACATACACATATTATCAGTATGGTCATAGTCACTTCCCACATTTGCTATTAAGTTTTATGAGAGGAGGTACAAACTGCCACCCATCAATGGGTAGCACTGGCTATTGTCATAGTATGAATGTAGAATGTCTTTAATGTCATTCATTCAACTTCTGCTTGTGCGGCCTCTTGCCTTCATGCCAGATCTTCTTAGCTGTAGATTGTAGCATCTGTGTTGGTTGTAGCTGTGGCTGCATTCTAAACAAGATGTCTGAACCATCTGAACTGCTTCTCAATTAATTTGGTTCTATGGTTACTGTTGTTACCAGTTTTTCTGAATATCGTTTCTCACTGTCTTGGATAGTTAAGCTAGGGGCTTTCCTCAGGCGTCTTATCTCATATGTGTTAATGTTATACAGGTTAGCCTCTGATAATGTCCATGTTTGCTTCTGGTAGTAATGTTGTATGAATATACTGTTTCTTGGATCTATTCATTATCATCAGGTGCCTTGCCAACTGGCGTGGGCGATCATGCCTCTCCATAATCTGGGATCTCCTGCAGCATGTATCAGTTTGTGTGCCGACACACTTCCATGCCATGCCACAAGACTGTCAAAAATCTTCTCTCATTGTCTTCCTCTATCCCTCCTTTTACAGATCTTTCCAGTGGTCACAACATGTTCTATTTTCCCTCTTCTCATAACATGGCCGAAAAATGATGACTATCTCCTTCTGATGTCTGTAATAAGTTGTCTTCGGGCTCCCGCCTCTTTCAAAACCTCTTGGTTGCTCTTTTTAGCTGTCCAAGGTATTCTAAGCATTCTTCTGTAAAACCACATCTCTGAGGCCTCTTAAAAATTTTTTTTGCCTGCCTACTGGTTGTCCAGGATTCACATATTCATTATACTTAATGTTTAAATAATGGTGTTTCTATTTTCTGATCTTATCTGCCAAGAATATAAGAGGGAAAGTAAAAACATTAACCACACTTTTCACATAACTCTTTTTACATTGTCTACATTGACCTTTTCAGTCTTCTATCCTCGCTGATTTTATTGTCATACTGTTGTAGTAATGCTAGGAAAGTTTGAATCCTAATTCATCCAATTCTCGGCTCTCCTTTCAACTTCGGCCGGTAGACAAACATCGACGGCCGGTTAGTCGGAGTTATGTCCCCTTGCTACAGTGCAATTACGGACTGGACAGGATGTTTGCCTACCAGCCGAAGTGAAAGGAGAGCCCAATTCTCTTCCTTCAGTTGCAGCCAGATCCTGGCTGCTTCTTTAGAAGTGTGCACCAAAGAGAAACAATGGGCAGTGACATTAGTAGGATTCCTCTAATCGGAGGGTGACAAAGGTTCCTAAATTCATCGTAGTGTTGAGTCAAGAATTGACATCACAGCAATTGAGGCATTCCTTTGTGTGCTCTGTCCTCAGCAGCCAGTGCAGAAATTCATTACTGAATGCAAACTGAAGCAATCTGAGAAAAAAAACACTGATGTGGAAAAGAGGAACAAGCAATCGAAAGAACAGTTTTGTGAAATCCAAAAGAAGATTAGCAGTGAATTAGACAATGTAAAAACCAGACTGCAGGAGGAGACAGATCGAAGTAAATACTAGGAAAACGAAGCAGCGGAACAGGCAGAATCTAAGGAAGACAGTGAAGACAGTGACAACATTGTTACAACAAAAGAGGCAGGGAAGTATGATTGTAGATTTAGGCAGTGTGTTTATGACTTTTTAATGTGCAATGTTAGTGTTGGTAATATTTCTCGTTTGTTGTCTTCTGTTGCAGGGATAATTTTTGGTAAATTCTTTTTTCTCAGATTCCATGTGACTACAATAGCACAGATGGCTTACGAACTCGGGGTGCTTGCTAGCATTCAAGCTGGCCAGATGCTGCACGAGTGCGATCTCATCACATTAGCCTGGGATTCCACAACAAAGGCAGGTATACATTATAACGAAGTTCATGGGTCCCTCAAAACATTACTAGGTAGGCAATCATTAACTCTCAATATTAGACCCATTTCAGATTCATCAGCAGAGGAGCTATACCAGCATGCAATGGAGGCCTTATCTGATGTCTGCGAGATCTACTGTGCCGCCTTTCAGCTACCCGCAACAGCCATCCTGAAAGAAGTGAAAAGCAAACTGCACAGCACCATGAGTGACAGAGCTGCTGCAAACCAACGAGTGTCTGAACGACTTAGAGAAAACTGTGGAGATGGAGACGTGGCCGATTTAAAATGTATGGTCCACCCATTAGACGGCCTTGCCAGATCAGCCCGTGAAGCTCTGCGTAAACTGATACTAAGACAGACCAAGATGGTCAAAAAACGTCCTTGGGCTGCCGGGCTGCAACACTGATTCATCGTTTCCAAACTGAGGTAATGTTTAGTCAGTTTTTATCATCATTGTGTAGCAAGTCCTGTACAGAATGTCTCATGGCATCTATTTTATATCATTTGTTTCATGTCTGTGGCAGATTTTTCAACATACATGTATTTGGCAGGTTGACAACATGGGGATATATCATCATATATGGAGCGCAGTGAAAATCTGGAAGTCATACTAAAAATAATGTAATTTTCATTTTAATGCCTGCAGTAAATCACATAATCATGCACATAACAAGACATTTTTTTCCCAGGTATAAAGATGGTTCTGGTGATCCAGCTGCATTCACAGCCTTTTTGAAGATGAAGAATATCAATCCAGGTATCTTCAAACGCTATGTTGGGAACCGCTTGAATGTCATATTCAGTATGGCAGCGGTGATATACCTGCATCGAGTCCAGCTGACAGAGTTTGTAAAATGCAGGCTGGGAAAGTTTGTGTGCGCAAAAATTTATGAAGGCCTAACTGATCCGAGTGTCCTTCTACACTTGCAAGTACTGGGCATGTACTCCCGCTTTCTCACAGGACCATGGATGCAGACATTTTACTCAAATGAGGATGGAAGAGGACACTTCGAAGCAGTAAGAATTTGTTTGCTTGTGGTTAATTTTTTGGTCGGCCCCTCACAGGAAGCTAGTTAGATGAGACAATTTATTTGTCTTGCTTCAGTTTTTGTGTGTCTTGATTCAGCAATCTTTCCCTCTATCCTGGTGTTTTCATGTGATTTGCTTATTTTACAGGTTTATTAGGATACTAGTATAGATGTGTATTGTTATAAAATTGATTTTTTTTAAACAATATTTCTTTATCACTCTTTTCAACCAGGTAAAAGAGATAACATCATGTCTTGGCCATCTCACGTCAGTGGAGAAGACTCCTGAATACTTGATCCATGCTGTAACTGATGCGTTTGACAGGGACATGGAGGAGTCCGAGTTAACCAAGCTTCACCATTCTACTAAAGATTACAGTATAGTAGCAAAAAATGTATCATCTGCATTTATTAAAACCTTGCAACAGCAATTTAAACCATATTTTGCAGGGGCCTTGTCTGATCCATCTGAAGAAATGATAGCAAGGACATCTTCCGCCCCGGTTCATAATATGGAGGCTGAAAGAATTATGGCAATGTTGGATAGAGCTTTGCAAAGAGCCCCAAATGCCTCCATAGGATTTATTGATGCCGAAGAAAAGGCTGTGCAAAACAAAACTTTGCACTGGCTAGTCATTTGATGACGACTACCAAAAGTTTATGGTCTGTTTTGCAATTCGTTATGGGTCTAAGGTGAGGCGGCATCAAGCTGAGCAACAGAAGAAAAGACAGCAGAAAGATGTCCAGAGGTTAGACAAGACACAGAGAGGTGTACATGAAAAACTATTATCAGACTTTGTGCGTACAGAGTCAGTGTTGTCAGTTCTTGGCCTATAACTATTTAAAGATGTAGATTTGAACACAAAGGAAAAGTTAAAAAATATTATCAACAACGCTAATGCACTGCCAGGTGTGTTACTGCGACACGTCTGGTATGAAGAAGGAGTAGACACTGTCTATATTGAAATGGTAAAGAACGTGAAAGAAAAGGACAGCCTGAAGACAGTAATAGAGCTGTATTACTGGAAGGAAGGTGAAGGACCAACAGATGCCACCTTCAAGATGACTATGAAAGAATTTCTGGTGGACTTTGCCACAAAAGAACTGGCATTTTATGAAGATTAAAAATAAAACATAAGTACTTTGAAAATAAAAACAGATTTAGAAATCACAGAATATTGTTGAAATAATCAAAACCTTATTTTTGGAACATACAAATTGATATCAAAGTTGTAATTTTATTATAAAGCTGTCTCAAAGTTTCATTTCAGTTGACACTTAGTAAAGATTAAGGCTTCTAAGAGTGCAAGTTATCATCACGCTCGCTTGTCAGCCCAATCGACAGCAGCTTTCGTCGGCTGTCAAACATAAACTAATGGTCATGGTGAGTAGCTATAATTTCTAATGACATGGTTATTTGTTTAAACAAAACTAAATACTTTATAATCATTACATACCATCAGGCACGCATGAACATATATCAGCCGTGAATAGAGTTCAAACCCATTTTTCAGATGTATATTTTGCAATTTTAATTAAACTATTTTAGGAAAACCCACTGAATTATGTGCTGATAGTTACATTCTTCTTTAAGAGCAAAAGTTAACAATGTAAACCCAGTGATAACTTGATCATTACAGACAGACGTGTGAGTTGCTTTGTGGGCACTCCAACCAGGTAAAGCTGATAAAGGAATGTGGATAATTGCAGGATTTGTTTGGAAAAAAAAATATGAAATTGGCTTTTAACGTTTGCATATCTTAGCTGTCACATCACATACATTATATTATACTGACAAGGGCAAACTTTTTTTTTCAAGTCATTTGTTGTGCTGAGTGCCTTTTTTAAATGACTACTATTATGTGTGTGTATGTTAATGGTTATTTTTTTTGTGTTTGTTTTTAGATTGGCATTGGAGAGCAGAAGCAAATGATGTAATCCTTATGCTGGGATATGAAATCTT